CACTTTTTCTTATCCTCGTGATAGTTAAGCTGCACACAGACACAACACGTGCGCATTATCACGTTTAGCAATTAAACTCTGCTCAATTTTTTTTTGGTTCTTTCTCTCTCTTTCGCGTGTCTGCAGACCATCGAAGGTGAAAAAAATATACACGAGCACAAAACAACTTTCGTATAAATTCAGGGTCTCCCCGCGCCTGTGTGTGGGTTATATACAAGAGAATCCTCTCTCGCAGCTCATCGTTTATGCAATAGTTGTGAGCGAGATCCCACAATTGGAGCATCCCGAGCGCGCGCCTGAGAGAGAAAAAAAAACTTTTTCTCAACGAGATGCACACGTCGAGCTCGCGAGAGAGTTGGCTTATTATTACAATGTATGCTTAAGGAGCTTAATTAATTACACACTCGCACACCACACACACTCTCGGTGATTAGTGCCAACTATATGGTTTTTAATACGTCGAGCGCCCAGGGAAAATGTCGATATGTGCCGTGTAGTATATAAAAGTTTTCCCCTATTTTCGAGCTGCCGCGGCGCGTAACAGCGCCGCATCGCGAACTCTCTTTTGCAAACGTTTAGCGTGTAGATACTAGCATGCGTGTGTCTGTTTATAGAAAATTTAAATTATAGGTTTTCGCGCGCGCTTAAAGAGCCAATAGTTACATAGAGAACGCAAGTGGGTCACTTATTATTTTTTTTTTCAAAATTCAAACTACTGACTAGACACACATTTTAAACGTGCGGGTAAAAATTACGCAACAACGATCGAACTTTTTTCATCATCATCATCATCGGCCGCTAACTGTAATTTGTAATCGATATACTCCATTGTGGATGCTATACATAGCTTACATACCCAGTAGCGCAAAATTATCTTGGGCAGCATCGATTAGGACTTTTATTACGCTTTTTTTTTACACACGCGCGCGCTTATGCATATAATATACAGTTAGCTCGTTCTCCTTTGAAATTATCGCGTATGCAGCTGTAGCTGCAGCAGAAGCTCACTCGATGTCGGACTCGCTTATCTACATACAACTTCCAACCGACATTCCAACCTAGATATTTATAAAAGAAGAAAAAAAGAAAAACTTTTTCCTTTTGCACTATATTCACGCATATTTATTACAACAAAAGCTTACGAGCTATAAGTACGTCTCAATCGTACAATTATGTCAGCGCGCGCGCGAGCAACGGTCCTTCTCCGCAGCCGCGCATCGATCCTCGATCCCCCGATCGTAAAGGGGTAATAACGCGCGCGCAAGCATACTGCAGCCATTGAAAAGTGCAGTGTGCCTTATACGCAGTAGAGAGAGAAAGAGAGCGATAACTACTTGCTATTTTCACTGCGTGCATTTAGAAGTGTAGCAGCCTTATGAAGTAGGATAGGTATACATCATGAGCAGCTCCGCTGGCATATACCTGCTACTACACAGCTCCGCACTCGGCAGCGTAACGGTTCGTCGCGCATAGCTGAACGCGTTCCGATTACAAATTGTTTTGCTCATTTTCCCCCGTTCGAATTTTCCAATCGTCGTAGTCGTCGTCGTCGTCTCGCTGTAGCCGCCGCGTCTCAACGCACTTTTCTTCTCTGGAAGAACGTTTTCAAACTGCACGAGTCAGTGGGTTAACTCACTTTTATTCGAGCGAATTATGTCTTGCGAGAGACGTGGTGAGCTCGAGTATATAATACATACAGCTGCACGAGTACGCGTAGGCGTGATAATGCGTGCATAATTAGCTGCCTTACCCATGCGCGGTTTTTTAAAATTCTGGTAAAACTGGATTACCTCGACGCCGACAATATTATGTATAAAAGACGTATATTCGCGTACTTACACAGAGTCTCGCCACTTAATACAGTTAGACGACACGGGCAATTATTTTTGAGCGATCGTCCGATAAGATTTCTTACTTTGCTCCCTCTAGATCGGTCGCTAGCTCGCTATACTTGCGTATACATCTACACCAGTTATGATTACTTCTTTTCTCATGCTGCCTGTGCGTAAGATATATATACTATGTGCCTACAAAAGATACTCGATCTATCTCGCACACAGGATTAAGCTACTCCATTACAAATATTTCGCACACACATGTTTTATACTGTACGCGAATCTTCGCGCCGGAAAAAGTAACGAGGCGATCGTGGCGCGACAGGTTTGCTACCGCTGCTGCTGCTGTGACATATTATGGCAGCCACCACCGGTGTTCGATACCTCTATGTATACCTAGACGCGTCTACTAGGCGGCGTTTATGCTAAAATTAACTGTACTGTGTAGCGAGCTACGCGATATTTATACGCTGTACGCGAGTACGAAGAAAAGAAAATGTATCGATGAAATGATAATTTTACAAAATGAATTAGATGTACATTAGCATATATCGATTACATACTTGAATATTATATTTTTTTAGGCAAGTTTATCGATCTATTACGTGGTATCATTTTTTTCAATCCACATAGCTGTATATAATATACTGTATACCAAGAAGAGTTTGGAGCGGTCATCGGCACGCAAACTCCCATTCGTGTAACACCCACACGTATAAACTCTTGAAGTTCGGCCACTTATAACCCGGCGTGCGAAACTCATTCATATGCGCGAAGTACACAGTATCGGGCTCCGAATTTCCGAGAACGAGCCGCAGTCGGACGTATACGTATAATGGAGTCGAGTGTCGCACGAGTATGAATTTTAAAATCTCAATCGGTGCCGAGCGAGGTGGCTGTATTATATACGAATCGTGCCGTACGTTATATTATACATTTCGCATATCCGTCGACGCGACGTCGGAGAAATATGACGGTAATAACGAGGCGGTCCGCACATGTAGCGTATGATACGTACGGAAATCGATGTTACCATATACACGAGCACACGCTCGCTGCAATTTACGAGTGCACTTTTCTCTCGTTTTGCCCCATCCGAGATGGGTAGAGCAGTAATGACAATTATTATTACGTGCGTATTACGCACCAGTTACACTTCTTTAATACGAACCTAATGAGACATCATTAAATATTTATGGCAGTTGCTCAATCGCGCGTATATAGTGGTAGCGGCATACGAATTGCATAAGTCTTGTAATGCGCGAAAATATAATATATATGTAATAATAACAATCGAGAGGAGGCTCGACGCGCGTTACACGCTTTTAACTTTCAGTTTTTTTTATTTTATTTTAAATCTTGTGAAATTTCGCACAAGAGCCCTAACAACACGCTACATTATATTAATGGTAATGAAGCAAGTCTGGCCAAAATCGAACGTCTAGTACGCTTCCTTTTTTTGCAATTGTCAACGTATACGAATCGCACGTCTCGATGCATTTCGCAAAATCCGCTTCCAATTGATCGACCCACTTATTGATACGTGTATTCGTACGAGGGAGCAGCTCCTGCGTTCGGGCGCGCTCGAATGGCGTCAATTCACGAGATAAGTCGCCACGCTTGAGCCGCGCGTATCGAAAAGCTCATCGATCATCGAGCTCGGTGAAGCGGCCCAAGTGTTGCTGTGTATCTGCGGCGTGCACATAGTACGGTACGGTATTGTTGTATATACGCAGGAGGTGTCTACAACCCCGCCTAGCCTACATTCGCGAAAAACAATGCAAACGCGCGCGAAACTATCGCGCGGCGCTACCGCGAGCAGCCGTAAAGAGCGCGAGCCTCTCTTGAATCGGCCAATTGCAGTTAGCGGCGCTAGAGGTATCTCTCACGCTTCACCGTATCCACGTGCATCGACGAGAGGGATACTTACACACATATACAAATAAATGTATCGTATAGTAAATGTATTCACATATGGTATGTGTATCTCAATAACGAAAGTTAACGAGCTACACTTTGACTTTAAGGCCGTTACCTTTAATTATGTCATCCATTGTCTTACTGTGGATTGTGTATACGCGTGTATATATGTATGAAAGATAGATAGTAGAGTCTGGTGCGAAGTTAGTTCTCATAGTTTATAGCGCAGGCGGCTCTATGTATGTGTGTGTGTACATAAGTGTAGCACGGTGTAACAAAGCTCATCCGATGCTCGTATTGATATACACTGCCTCTCTCTCTCTCACTGCACACGTGTGTGCGCTGTTACATTTTTATTATCGAGTTGAATCTTGAGTCGGGAGCAGCAGTGAATTGCAACTATGGCCGAGTTTTCGTAATATATATCTACGGTGTCATAAATGAAATTCGCACGTGTTGAAAGTCTACGTGTTATACGGTTTATATGCTGTGTGTGTGTGTGTGCGCGCGAGATTCCATTGTCGATGTGAATTTCGATCGTTATGACGTGCGCGCATTAGACGAAGATGAAAACGGCATTCGGAAAAATGAGTTACGAGCGTCGTTACGTTGAATTAAATTTAAGTGAAAATGACGAGAGATACATCGCGACGCTCGAGTTCGGGATAAATCATCGGGGAATACTAGGCATATCTTCCGCGCGCACAGCCTAGATACACATGCGTCTTTCCCAATTTAACAATTAGGCTAGGCGCGCGAATTCCTCACACCGTCTGCAACGGTTAAAACTGCGTCTGGCAGGATAATTTTCTGCGATTTTTCCGCGCGTTTTTCGTATCGTACGCGAAAGATCGCAAGTACGCGGCAACTGCGCGCATCGCTTATAACGTGCGCACGCAACTCGCGAAGCAAGTACTATACTATACATGTATATTTAATACATTGCCGATCTTTTCTCTAATTGCGAATAAATTCTTCTCGACTCTCGTGTACAAGAGTTGCGGCTTTATACACGAGTACCGCCGAGCTGAGGGGAATATTTGGTTATAAATATTAATCATACGCGCGGCGGCGGCTGTGGAGCTTTAACGGCCCCATGCTTGCGGGTAAACGTCATTGTCTTTTATATCTGTATAAATTTCACCATAAAAGACGCCTATTCAGCCTCTTCCTTCTTTCATACAGTTGCACGAGCGAGTCGTTTTACTTAAATTTCAATATGGTCTTTTTTTTGGTTTGCAGAAAATGCTGATAAGGAAATCGGCGGCCGTTTGGCTGCTCACCATCCTCCTGTGCCATCTTCGACTAACGGAATCTCAAGTAAGTTTTATACCTTTTTCACTCTTTCTCTCTATACATGTACGTTGCAGTGCAGCGTCTGTTGCAGCCACACACGAATATATCCACACACACACACACATGAAGCATTTCCAGACTTGTATATTATATACGCGCATAAACACGTACGAACAAATCGGACGAGACTGGAGGTACTATCCAAGCGTTATAAAACGAGCTTGGTGGTGTGCGTGCCCAGTGCAGCATAGCTATATTGCCGTCCAAAGCGACACTCGACTCTCTTTCTGTGTATAGGTATATATAAGGTACTACTACTACTACTATTACTACTACTACTACTACCAGTACTGCTGCTGCATCGAGGCGGCAGCGGCAACGGGCAAAGCACGATGAGGTCGAAAACAGGTTTTCGCGATTTTTTTCACCCGCATTTTCTCGACGACGACGACGAAACGCCGTTGGGAATGACTATTTGCTGGCGCGCATGCGTCAGGACTTGCAGCCGCACTACTACTACTACTACTACTACTACTACTACTTCTAATACTATTACTGGGTACTATATGCACTGCATCGTGCCGTGCAGTCGTCGCATTCCGTGCAATCTCCCGACGCGCGAGCTCGAGAGATACTGTATACGAGTATATAGTACCGATCTCCTCGAGCGAGTGCTAAATCATATAATAATACATACGTATCGTGTGGGCCTCTTCGAGTGACTCGTGGCGCGATTTCAAATTTGCATTCCCCGTGCATTCCGACGTTTTCATTCAATTGAATATCTCGCTTGATGAATGAACAGAAAAAAAGCTCTAAATGATATACGATTGGAAAATTCGTTACCGTAATGCCAAAAATCGGTACATAAATATAACAAACGCAACGCTCGCTGACCCCGACACCCGTGATTTACAACAAACGCAGATTTTTACTTTTTACACATCGCGTTGGCATTTATAGTCGGTGCGCTCTAGCGTATGTACGAGCTGTTTACGATACAATTTAATTTGCGCAATACCGGAAACGTTATTAAATAATCCGGATCGGGCGCTTGAGCGACCAATACATGAATATATACTGCCACACACACACACGCAGCTTGTTTACGATATTGTACCATGCACCGGGGCGCTGCACTTATTACATTAGCTGCGCCAAGGCGGCAGTGGTATTTCTCTACTACACATACATGCCTATGTGTACAACCGCACGCGGTGTGCGTGCGGCATACCGCTCGAATACGTCGGCGAATAATTGATTCGATCGGATATAATAATATCAGTTTTTATTGCTGATCTCGCGTGCGTCGCAGCTATGCATACACGTTATATTATATTTGCCCGCGCGATCGCGTCGTGCAGTATCGGCGGTGTCGTTTCATACCTTGCAAAATAATGTATTCAACGCGTCAACGATACACGCAGAGCACAATTGAATTTCGCGTAGGATGAATTAGCGATTGCCGCCGCCGACGAGCGTAATTAGTATGGGCAGCGAAGAGAGTAATGACCATTCCGAATTGTTTACCGTGACGTCAAAAATGGGCCTGTCACTACACTCAGAGCTGCTACTGCTGCTGCAGCTTCTGTTCGCGATAGCTGCAGCACCTCTTTATCGAGAATCGGTCACTTTCTTTCCGTTGCAAAGTTCACGCGGGGGGAATCGTCGCCGTCGTCGTTCGGGTGCAGTGCCGCGCGCGTTTTTCCAATGTTCCGATCGGAGAGAAAGTGTATGTAGTACGTATTGGGTGAAAACCTTTCCTTTTTTTTTCTTCTATCTTAATTAGGGTCCAACACTATTGTCGTTATTATGCTAGAGTGAGTTTTACTGTTTTCCACGCAAGAGCTGCGCAGTTGTGCGCCTTCGAGACGAGAATATAAAAAGTATATCTTTAAGCCTTCCATTTTTTTTCTTACCTCTCTGACGTGTATATGCTGCCTGCAACTTGATTGACGAATGAACATAATACAGATATGTGTGTGTGCGTGTGCAATGTACATACGTATTTGACCGTTTCGCAGGAAGTGGCGTAAAAAGTAAGGGCACGCGACGTCTGCATGTGCGCTTTTAAACCATATAGCCGCAGTCCCTTCGTTGTGCGCGCATGAAGGAGATAAAAAGAGAAACGAAGGCATTGTTGTGCACGCGCCTAGTACCGAGAACTATATCGTAACACGTGCGATTTTGACAAGGGCTGAAAATCCATTTTAACGTTAGATATTTAGAAATATTTTACCTTTCGAATCAACTTTTATTGTATTTATAAAAATTATCTTTACTATTAATCGTATATGTTTAAACTGGTGTAATTATAGTTTTTTAGCAAACGCGAGATTGTAGTACGAACCGGAGGCGAGTTTTGTTACACTCGAAAGCTCCACACGGTGCTTGAAAATCGCCAAGATATTTGCCTGTACGTATGTATAGGCAGAAATCTTTTGAACGCGTTATGACTAACGCATTCGTCCGTGTATACGCTGCGTATAATTGAGTTTGAAAGTGTTAACAAAGACCGTAGAAGAAAAACAACGTGGTTAGTTGAAGTTAATGTACGACGACGGGGGAAAACATGTTAATTTAACGCTTTCAATATTTGTGCGCGGTGAAAAAAAGAGACGTGTCGGATATTTGCTTTTTCGCCTATAGGTACTTGAGTTCACGTGTGTGAATTTGTCCGCGCCTGTATTTGGAGTTTATAAAAGAGATATATAAAGAGATCGCGATGAAAACGAGGTGTGTTCTACTATAATTCAGAATCACGTGTGTGTGTAATGTTCTAAAGGAATTGGACTGAAATTTGCCGATCTCTGCACCTCTCAAGAGCCACGCATACCTTTTCAATCTCTCAATGTAGCATACAATCGCAATACTCGTACACAAACGCGAAGTAGACGATGATTTTTGTAATTCTCGTGTGTGTAAGCATTCGAGTGTGCGCGGATATAGACTGAAACACCCAATACAGCCTACGTCCGAGATTTTCTCAAGGCTCGACGAATTTTTATGTACATTAAAAACAATAACTATGGCTGTTATGAATATCGTCGCTGTATTGAGCGGATCTCATTTTTGCCACTTCATATATCACCCGGTGCGGTGCGCGCTATACCTTGTCTCAATTTAGCGGGTTTACTTTACGAGCTCGCTCGCTATGGTACTCGATCAAAAGCTCTAATGTCTGCCCGCGATCGGCCCGGCATCTATAAACCTCGACTCGAGCTCTAACAAAATGGCCGTACATATACTTGTCCGTATACAGATATTGCATCTCTCCTCGCTCGCTCTTGATATAACCATTATATATGTTCTGCATAGGTGTATATAATAGCTGCGAACTCGCGGCGCGCGTAAGGCATGGCTCCAGCATCTCCGCGCTGCCGCCGCCGCCGCCGCGGCGGTGAAAGTGCATTCTGTACTGTGCAGCTCATAGGCTGCGCTCGCTAGCACACACACAGACACATCTACACACGCTCACAGGCTGACTGACGCAAACTCGACACGCATATCTCGCACCCATATTCCTACATGTATATACGTGCCCAATCGAGGCCCATTCAACGCTAATACCATGATTATTTTTGCATCTTTATGCGTGCGTCGATGCTGCGCGTTAGCATATATAGAAATTTTCCCATCTCGAGCCTTTTCTGCGCGATATCGTATACATATTCAAATCTTCCATTGACCAATCTCCGCATATAGGCGAACATGACTACCGGCGACAATGACAAAATTACGCGGCATAAATCATTTTCTAAAAGACTCGATGTAAATCACTTTGGACAGTATCGCAGCTTGTGCTATAGTTTTACGGATATGTACCCTAGCACTATAGAGTTGCGCTCATTATTGACGCCTGAAAAATTTCCCCTTTTATTATTATTATCATGGATATATTCTTTCGGATGTTCAGTTCAAGTAATACAGCATTTGAGTCTATTGAAAACTACGGCAATCACGTTGAAAATTTCTCGTATTTTGACAACTTTTTCAGGGGCAAAGTAGTTCATAAGTTACTACCAGATGGCGTATGGTCGAAATTTTGAAAATCAAAACAAAATAGTAAAGTTTTAGCATTAATTGTTCAGATTTACACGTGTGTACGAACTGTGCTTGTCGAAATTTCACGACTTCTAATCTCAAGAATTGAACGTCAAAAAATTCGAATCTGCGTGCAAACGCAACATTACCACAATAAATCCTTGTATGCTTAATGCATTTACAGCCGTGAAACAAAAGGACATAACGTTCCATTTTGGTTGTCTACATCGGCTTAGATTTGCTCCTATTGAAAGCCACAACTACGCAACTCTGCACAGAGCGGCTGCGTGCATGTATGTATTGTTATTGACAATCTGCATATTACAGGCGCCTGCCGTATAAATATCGAGATTGGCAAACGCCGTAAGTGTGAAGCAAATCTCTTTCCTGCGCAACGCAAATTTCGCGATACACGCGCGCACTTTTACGAATGAAAAATTTCCAAGTAGAAAAAAATTAGCTCCTTGCGGTCCTACTCGCGTGTGATAAAGCGTGACTATCATTAGCGAATAACTGATTAATCGCCACACGCGCGTCTCGTGAAACGACGTCCAGTTTAACGAACTGCCGCGCGCGCGCGTTGATGCACGTGTGCTTCTGCTTGTATACAAGTACGCGTATACGCGATGATTACTATCCTCGATGCGCTGGACTGCGGCGATCGATTACTTAAAGTAGACATTAGCTCGGCCAGAGATATTCAATCTCGATTACTCGCGCAGTAGGCATAATAATATGATAAATATTTCTCTCTCTCGCGGTCGTTACAGCACCTCTCTTGTAGTGCACGGACGCGGCCAGGATCGTCGTCTTCCGAGTTGTAACAGAACAACAACAACAAATAATAATACGGGCAGCTTATGATTGCAGCCGTGCACTGTACGTTACCGAGCTAGATGCTTGTGCTGCTGCACGCACAGTTACGAGGTACACACGCGGCGGCTCGTAAATTAGCGAGGCGCGAGCTGAGATGCATCCACGAGTTCTGTCCGGTGCAGCCTGCGTATGCATGCATCATAGGCGTCCAGCCAGAAAACCATCTGTATTTATATAATATATATCGCTAGAGTCCACGCGAGAAGCTGCTGCTGCTGCTGCTGCTGCTGTAATGTGGCTCTGGACGACGACGAAGACGACGACGCGCCCAGATGGAATGTGATAATCCGTTATGTCATTTATGCTCGCGAGCTGCGGAGATGCTCGTATAAGCGTGTGCGTAAAGGAGTGTTCCTCGTGCTGCGTGCCTGGTTATACACACTGCTCCAATGACGATCTTACCTCGAGTCGCGGCATTTTTTTCGTGCACAAATTTTCCAAATTGCCGAAGAAGAACGAGAAGGCCCGTGCATAAAGCAAGAATAATAACGACATCGAGAGTATACACAAGGGGCGTACGGGTACTTCGTATACGGCCCGGCGAGATTCCTGCGCGCGGCGCATTTTGCGCCTAACGATTTCGCCGATACGCTCTCGAGTTCCGCCGAATTTTTTTCTCTCTCATGGTACACACAGGCTCGATAATGACGCCACTGCGGACTTTTGGGAATTACGGATTCAGCAAAACAATTCTATACATAGATCGTTATTGTCTCCGATTAACGCGCGCATTCGTATGCAAAAATGTCATTTTCAACTGCAGACGACGATATCCTTTTTACAAAAAACATTAAAATGCCTGCTATAATACTTGTTTCGCTATGTTCGTCGAATACCGATCGCGCGCTCGACTGAGTGCGTGAGATCGCCGCGACACGTACACACGCGGGAGCCGCGCGTTGTTTACTATATGCCAAATATGCAGCACTGTCAGCAAAACAATTCGGACAATCCAGTTTCTCAGCCTAGTCAATTATTTATTTATTATTCATTAAACCATTTCGAGCGATAAAATCGTAGAGCGAGTCGCCGCCGCGAAGCAGGTATCATATATAGAGGTAAACACGAAAAATAAAAAAGCCGAAAATACCTTGCATTTTCATCTAAAGCCAATTAAAAGACAGAGAGAGCAGAGTCGAGTCGACGAAATGGTTCAACGCATTATACATAAGTTTTCAATCAGCGGCGATCTCGGGTACTCTTATAAACTTACTGCGTACACCGAATACGTTGTGTACTATATCTAAGCGCTTGGAAAAATAAAAATCGACGAAATTGCAAAACAAGCTCGACATACCTCTCTCTCGCGCGCGCGCACTCCATGCGGTTGATTATTTTTCTATTCTAGAGCCACCGCGGCAAGAGTAAGCTATAGTGAACGAACGATCTGACGCTCGATGCAAATAACGCACAATTCGCGGCAGCTCTATCCTTTCTACATCCATGTAGCACCTCTATACAAGACCTGTCGCGATACAAGAACACATGGACGAACTCGCGAGTCGCGCTCTATGGCTGCTGCTGCGAGGCAATATCGCCACGAGAGAGGGGCACGCGTGGAAAATTCTTCTCGCCAGGTGCAATCTCTTATATATAGGAAACACAACACATGCACTCGTAGACGAGACTATACAAGCCTCTAGCCGGTCACTTTCACTCTTCTCGCGCGCGTGCACCAGGCAGACCCAGACCCCGGGCAGGGAAGTAAGAAGTCGCGCGCGGGGTCCGCGCCGAATGTTGTCTGAGAGAGCTCGTATACCGGGAAGCATGACTATTTTTCGATAATACGGGCTTTATTACCTGCTGCGCGTACATACGTACGACTCGGGTTTTCGAGAGCTGCTCATTCAGCATCACGCCTCGACGATACTTTAATGGGAATTGTCGCACTGCGCGTTCACCCGGGCGCGCGCGCGCGAGCACAAAGAGAAATCGACTCGCTAAAACTTTACGTTTATAATTGCCGCCGAGTGGTGTCTCGCCCGTAATGGGAAATGAAGACTTTTATGGAGACATTTTGGAAAGCCAGTAGTAGTAGTGGTTGTTGTCGTACGAGCTTTGAGAAATAGACGAGGTACTACCGATCGACTTCGCTTCGTGGAGCGAGATCGTTGACACGCCGCGCAAATTTAGACGAGTTTACTTAAGTTACTCTCGATCAAACGACATTTCGCCAAGGTTAATAACATTTGATTTTCAAGTTTATCAACGAATAATTATATTCCTCGAAATAAATTCAACTCTTGGTGGTGTACGCGCAGACAGCGATCTCAGCTCGTGTAAGCGCAGTTGTCTCGTTTGTAGCCGCGCGTCCAGTACGCGCAGTCGTCGTCGATTCTTGTCATTAATCCTCGGCAAAAGACCGGGACCGATAAGAGAGTACGGCTTTTTCTCTCGCGAATGTGTGTGTATGTGCGAGCGCATGTTATACTCTCCGCACGCAAGCATGTCGACGAGAAATCCTCAATCGATCGCCGCAAGATACCGAGGCAAATATCAATAAATATCCCCATACTTTCTCCCTTATACCGATCACGTAAGACAATCGAAATTGCATATTCAACGATCGTCGAGCTTTTAATTCAATTAAACAGCAACGAGCATCGAAGCATTATTTAAACGATCGATGCCGATCGATACAAAATATACGACTCAATCTCACCTCGACTCTGAGAATATTTGTCCGCGATTCAATTAGAATAGTCAAAATTGTTATTTCAATGACTGGCATTCACGCGAGCGAGAAGTTACATACCTCGGTCGTGTGCTTGAGCACTTGCGTTGGCTATATTATTACAGGCGAGCAAGCCATATAAGCATAGCTCGGCCCTCGAAAAATAACAATCCCGAATTGACAAACGCCATAAAGATCGAATAATCTTTGTCGTCGTCGACGACGTCGTAAGGCGTACTTATTATCTCGCTCCCTCCGAAAGCTCCATTACTTATCCATCAAAGGGGGGCCTGACACCGCGAATAAATTACACAAGAGAAAGCCATAGGCCCGGCACAAGAGCACAGAAATGTGCGTGCACATGCGCGCGACAACAACCCAAAGGACTCCTACGCATGCCTTATAATAGTCCGCTTACAAAGATACGCGACTCTCTCATATGAACGCGGTAAATATTCGTGCGTGCACCTACTATGGACCGGCGGCGTGGTGCGCGATGCGGCGCTGCTGCTGCTGCTGCTCTATTGTACGCTCCGCGGAGCGCGTGAAAGTGGCGTGACTCGTCGACGAAAAAAAAAACGAAAGAAAAAAAAAGAAATATACGTCGTCGTTGCTATAGGTGTGCATATGGGATATAGCCAAAATGTACAAACCTGTACGCGTTCTCGCCATGCTATATACACATCCTGTTGGTCGCGCTCCAAGTATCGCAGCCGCTGGACGTATATAATGTCGAAGCGTAAATAAATGCGTCAAATATGCAGATTAACGAGTTGATTTTTTTTTCTTACTTTTTACGACGCGCGCAATACCATGTAAGCAAGCATGTCGCGCTTGTTTCATGCTCGATTTGTCGCGTTAACGCACGAAATGTGTGTGGCGCGCGGCGAATGATATGGGAACTATTGTGCGCGTTCGACTTTCGATAGTTTCGGAAAGGAGCAACAAAAAAAAACAAAAGTCGACAAGTCACGTAAAGCACGCCGCAAGCGGCTACAACAAAACGTGTCAAGTATACGGTTTCAAAGGTTTAATGGGAGAAGTTTAAAGAAATTGATATTATTTTCACTTGTGGTCCAAATACAAGTCCGCTAAATGTACGCGGAAATCATTTTTCGCAAGTTTCGACGAATATATCATATCCTAACTGTTAACCGATGATTACCACTTCCATCGCGCAAATCATCCTGTAACGAGAAACTCACAATCACATACAAACAGAAGAAACAGTAACACACGAAGAAAAAAAACACAAGAATCACTATGTATAACAGAATAAAAATCTGCGAGAGTCGAATAAAATGTCTGACTTTTTTTCCTGTTGCAGGCTCCATCAGCAGCACCGACGAGTCTCTTTACCTGCCCGAACGGTAAGTACACCAAGAATACGTATACACACGTTATATACCCTATATATGCGTGTGCAATCGATATGTATCCAGCAATACAACGAGACTTTCGATGCTCTTTTCTCTTGGCCTTTTTTTCTCACGCGTTCCGCGGGGCAGTCGTTGAAGTGAATTGGCCCGACCACCCATCGATACACCTGATCGTCGCGTGATTATAAAACGTGAATTTGTATCGTCTTGGTGCTTGCACAGTGTCGTTATAGGTGTTGTTGCACTTCGTAGCGCCGCATTATACGAGCTGCGTTTTATTTTTCGATTCGTACACGCCCTTTTGCTTTTATTTTTTTTTTTTTTGCCCGTGTATTTGTAGCATTACGATCTGTGAGCTGCAATAAAAATGTTCATGTAACGAAATACAATTACTTAATGACGCAAGTTCGAGATGATTTTTCAATTATTCCGATTATATTGGCATTTTTAAGAATTTTTGCGTCTAGAATTTCATAAAAATAACTCTGACGTAGTGGATGAACATTTTTCGGAGCTACGTTGAAAAAAATGTGAGGTTCAAAAATATTACACTGCATTCCGCGAGTAAAAATCTCGACAGTTTTAGATCGAATAAAAAATCAATCACTGCAAAGATTTGAAGGAGAAAAAAAACTCGGGAAGACCGGAAAAAATACGGGTGACGCGGCATTCTTCGGTCTATTAAAAAAAAAAAAAGAAAAGAAAAGAAAAATAAAAGCAAACGTCGCTTAGAAACTGCGAAATTGACCCAGATAGTAAATCTTGTTCTCAAAAACAATCTGTAAAAAACGCGTTTGCTCATCTGCACGCATGTTACACGGCTTTATAAAAAAAATGGGCCTCGGCTCTCTCATCTCATGTGTGTAGAGAGAAGCTCATGCAAGCGCTGCGTGTGCGTAGGCCGAAAGCGATACTAAATTAATGAAGCAGACTTTAAGCGAAGCGTCGCGAATAATCCGCTTATAATGCACGTAATATATTTTTCTAACGAGCCCTCGCTCTATGGAGCACTGCTACACGGCTGCTGCTGGCTGTGATAAGAGGATGCGCACATTGCTTTTCTCCCTACTCTTCGCGTGGCATATAGTCGCGCGAGTATACATCACGCGGAAGAAACTTACTCGGCTGCGTGGAAGAAGTGCTATATCGCGCGCGAGAGGCTGACGGGGTTAACGGCACCGCTACAGCGCGAGCATCGTCATCATCATCATGATCACCATCATGATCATCATCATGTTCATCATTATATATAGGTGTAGTATACATATAGTAGTCTCCTCTGCATGTAGCATACATGTCTTACACGTACAGACATGTATGTATGTGTAGACACACACATACGCGAGGCTCGTTGCAACTTTGCCGCGAGCTGCGAGCAACCTACATAATTGCAACGCTGTGCAAAAGTGGAACGAGCCTCACGCGCGTTAACGAATGCTCGAATTCTTCCTGCGCTGGACACTTTCATCCTGCTCGCATTGCACATTATATAGCTCTCGACGTGCACATATTGTACTTAGTATACTCGTGTGTGTGTGTGTGTGTGCAGTGCACGCCATCGAGCCACGAAAAACACGCGGAAGGGCAATATGCGATATACGAGCGCAATAAGAAATACGATTTATTATCCCGATTTTTTTTTACTCTTCGGCCGCACAGACTTCGCATCTTCGCACACACTGCACAGCACCTCTTCATTATTATTATTATCCGTGGCTCGCTTTTATTATTATTATATGTATATGGTTGATTCTCCTGAAATCTGCTTTTTGCATGTCTTTATGCCATATTCTTAAACTAGTGAAGATGAGCCAAAACTGGCTCGGTCATTCATTCAATATTGTTGTATTCTTCATGATAGGACATAAATATTTCAATTTTTTAGGGTCAGTTAAATTTGCCGTGAAGATATACATGCCAAATGTCACCTCCGTGGCATGTCTACATCTCAAAATCAACTCTATTTGCATGTACCATGCATTCTCATTAGCACCTGACCCTATAATAACTATGAGACCAGCTTCTATACATCCAGAGTAAAGTTTAAGTCTATTATAGGGCTTTGAAAAATGTTTTAAAAAAATTTCCCACGCAATTGAAAAATGTCTCGGATTTTAATCATGCTTCTGAATAATTTCAAACATACCGCCTGCTTTGGGTCGCTAACTCATTTTTGATGTCGCTAGATACGTAAATGTCAAGTATTATAGCCCAGCTTTCGATTGGTGTAGGTTGCGGGTTCAAATTTTACATTTTATCGATGCTGCGATAATTATTCTATTGAAAAATTCACGTGTGTCAAAAAAACGGTCACCTCCGTGGACATGAATATCTCGAGCTATGATCATTCTTTTTAACCACTCGCCCCGTCAAAAGACTCGTTTTTCATGACCAAATTTCGGGTTGTGCGGAAAATTTTGTGCGTTTCTTATTTTTCTTACATAGTTGATCAAAGCATCAATTTGTCACCTCCGTGTGTGTCACCTCCGTAACCGAAAATAGTCGATTTTAAGCATAAAATCGGACATAGTTTTCGTAAAACGAAATCTCAAAGCCCCAGATTCAATAATTATTCATATTTTATGGTTTAAAAAAGGGTAAACTAGTTCGCGCCGTTCAATATGACAAAAAAATTTTCACCATTTTTTCGTTTTCCATACCCGAAAAAGCAGATTTCGGGAGAATCAACCATATTATGCTGTTGCTGCCCTGACCGGCGCACTGTCCATCATCCACTTGGCTTATTTACTATCGCGATATCCTGTTCGGGGCGGCGGCTAATTCGCAAATAGGATTTTCGATTGCATTTCCATCAACGGCACATAACGCACTTTTTACAGCTTTGTTATACTCGCGCGCGCGCGGATGATATAGAGGTGCGCAATAAAAGGAGGAAGCGACCGAGCCGGTTATATAGATCGAGCGCACGAATAATTAAAATTGATAAAACTGTCAAGCTCGCGATTCGCGCGCGCCCGTGCATATTTGCGAGATCAAGCTCCGCAGTTGGAATTTTATTGAGGCCCGTATAAATTATCACGACTGCGTTTACTTTTTGCTGTAGTTATAGATACTCGAGCTTGGGTGGCCGCACTTGGCGAGCAATCGAGCACTGCAAATTTTCTACTTTACAATCGACGTTATGTATGTGAGAAAAAAAAGGATAAGAAGATGGCATATAAGAAGCGAACGTACTAAAAATGCAACAGCACCATCCAATGGTGCAAAAAGCGAAGCCCCTCCGACAACTACGTTATGCTACACGCCCGGGACGTGCGAAGCGAAGCGCGTCTCGCACTTGTATATTACTTTATATACTACTACTATAGGCTATATGAGACTCGAGCGAAGGAGCAAGCGAGAATGAGAGGTCGATCACCTTGACTCGTTCTCATCTCCTCCTTTCTCCTGTCTCCGTCATCGCTCGTCTCTTCGTCGTCGTCGTATCGGACTCACTCGCGTTTATATAAACACACTGCTCATACACACACACACATTCGCATAAGCGGAACATCAACAACAACACATACACACACACACACACACACACACTCGCACTGCAGCAGCAGCTTCATAATTCTTAAAGGATTCAGGTGACACGATTCGACTTCTTAGAAGCGAAGACGAAGAAGAAGGCGCGAGATGACGAAAAAAAGCTCGTCGGAAAAGAGAGAGCGACGCGCGCGTGCGACACAATGCCCAATGCCGCGACGACGACGCCGCTGAACTTATTACGCGCGCATACGCACACAAGCGTGTGGTACGTGTCGCGCGGAGTAGTGCTGCTGCGCTCGATTTCGATCTGCCAAAAGAGATGTATAGCCGATATATGATTCACCGCACTTATATACACGGAGCAGTTGTACGTTCCGTTGACCTGATTTTCGGGATAAAGTCACTGGCCTCGTGTCGCGCAGAGCGGCGCTGCTGATCGGTATATAGCGCATACTTATGTACGTTATATATAAATCGTTAGATCGATCGCAGATTATGCACACACACACGTAAAAGCGCGCATACATATACATAATCCGCGAGCTACGCTGTGCCGCAAGGATCGGTATAGATCGGCTCGAGATTGCGGTCCGTTTCAATCTCTCGACGAATTTATCTGCTGCGCGCATTTTCCTCGGGGAGGAGACTCGACGAAAAAAAGTGGATCGACAGAATGCTGCACGCGGACTGCATAAGAGATTATGCGCGCGTTCTGCAGCTCGTGCACTCGACATATACCACACCACTTGCGCAAGCGATAATTTAGGTAAATTTTCGTATACACGCGCTGACAGTTTGGTCGCGTATAAACCTATTCCAATATACAAAGTCTTTTTAGAGGCCATTTAAGTGCCCGCCGCGCTACATCGCGATCACGACGATCGCGAAATGTTACGTAAGGAAATAATACACAGCCGAATCGGAGTGACGCGCGTTTGGTCGTGCCACATACTCGTACGCAGAGAGAAAGAAAGACGACGTGTTCATTTGAATATTCCCGACGTTGCTGCAAAACAGATGAATTGAATGGGTTATGCAGCTCCTAAAAAAAAACAACAACAACAAACAGATGCATTCCGTGTCAGTATCGACTAATGCGCTAACCTATCAACCTATTCTCCAACTACGTCATGGGCGCAAATAGGTATTATACATACATATTTGAGCGTATCCTTTGTTACGAGTGTTGTACATATATAGGTAGGTGCACCAACCGCAGAGAGAAGCTGCAGGCTAGCCGCGCTAAGCATGCGATCGGTTGTGTACGTACCCACATAGCAGCCAGGCATGTGCACATAAGCACACATACACAGATACATTCGTATGTATATACGAGCGAATAAAACACGGCGCGCACTAGAAACGATCGAGGTCAGAAACTCCTTTTCCTCGCAACAGTGCAAACGCGATGCTGCCTGCTGCAGCTGCGATGCACGTGAGGGCTACTACCGCGTGCACTGCACACGCACACATGCACATTGCACATGTGCGCAAGAGTATGATTTGTCCGGGAGGAGGATAGGAAAAAAAATGGGGGGATGATTTATCGAGCTGATCATTGACCACACTCGCACGCGAGAGAATCTTCGTCTTATTCTCGCGCCCGATGCATTTTATGTATTGCATTATGTCCATTTGACTATCTCACTGATATTCTCGTGTCTATCAACGGATAATCAATCCACGCGGTGGCTTCTTTCTCTTTTATATTTTCATTCGCTGCTGGATATCGAGACTCCGCTGCAAATTTAGATATTTCACTTGTTGAGTGCGCGGAAAATGTATGCAAAGGTCGCGCGACGCGCGCACATGAAACCAATTACCGAGACTGAAATCGACTGAATTTATGCTCGTGACCCGCTGATACATCGATGACCCACGTATCGAACTTTCTTTTGTCGATGAAAACGAGATATAGACACGTGTTGCCAGATGCGATACACGAAAAAATGTAGTTCATCTCGAAACAGATCCTTTGACGGATAAATCAGAAAAAAGGTCGAGAGAAGATGGCTGGAACGAGTTTCGCGCACGACGAGGATCACGGTCTGCTATTTTAAAGGTCTATTGAAAGGATTTTAATTAAAGTCGAGAAAATTAAATTGCTCGGTGCGGCGAATCATAATCAAATTATTAAGATTCAGCAGACTTTTCATATGGTTTAATTTTTTGTTTTACTTTGTTTTGCAGGATGGGAGCTGAAAGGAATTCATTGTTACAAATTCTTCAACATCAGACATTCATGGGAAAAAGCAGCGGAGCTATGCAGAAGGTAAGAGATTTATATATAAATTCATATTGATGTGCCTCATGTGCGCGCTTGCACGCTTTGCTTTTATTTCATATACTTTTTTTTGCTTTTTATGGAGGAAGGCACACAACACATACGCCTCTTTGCACACTTCTTATTTTCCTCTATATATACGTATAAATGTAAAATCATACGCACCATAACCGTGTGTATATCGCATACGAATTTAAATGGTAAATCAGCATTATACGAGTAGCTATATACTCGGCTCTGTAATCCCTTATCCATCTTATGCATAATCAATGGATACGTATAAATATCTGCGCTTATTACGATCGGATTTTCTCACGATTACTACTGCTCATGCTGCTACTGCTACGCGCACATATCTATGAAACACAACTGCGAGTTACACGTTCATTTGCAAATAGAGCCACAACAAATGCCATAAAAATGCATTCGTCAACATAGACACACACACTGCAGGCGCTGCTCGCCTTTTTCCGTAAGCGAGATTTCCTTTTTAACGAGACGAACGAGGCGCGCAGAATCGCGTATTACGCGATTATTGTGCAATTTATGCCTGCTGCACGTGTTGTTGTTGTATCCTATGCTACAAGTGCCCTCGCGCGCAGAGCTCGGTATAAAGTGTTCGACTACTAAACGAAAGGAAATGAAGAATCAAACCTTAATTGTGTGCTATAATCGCGCAGGAGGGAAAATCTCGCTTAATCGGTGAAATGACATTAAGTGCGCTCCACGCCGCGCGGTTCTGTCTATATATAAATGAGCGCGCGTGTGTGTATACATTTTTAAACGTGGGAAATTATCAATTTGATTTCCCGCTCGCGGACGAAAGTCAAGTACTTAATTATACACGGTCGTATCATCGGCTTATATCGCTGGCCCACAAGGAGGAGAAAATCGTTTTATGCGCTCGGTAATAATGGCCAGAGAGAGGACGATAATTGTTCTTTTCTTCGAGGATTGCACTTTTTAGAATTATGCGATTTTATCTAGGTACGTGTATAAAAATAATGGACTCGTGCCGGTGCGTATAAGTACCCATCGCGCGCTGTACGTATATAACAAATGATTTATAGGATAAAAAACGAGTTTCGTATGATAGTTATTAATCCTGGCATATGTGCCTTTGTGATACTATTATCAGTTTTCTTATTATACGTATATATATTAGGCACACGATGTACACACACTTTGTAACACAACTTTTTAGCCCAACAAAAAGTTTACACGAGCTTAATTAAAATTCCAGCTTGCGCGCATGCATGCATGCTGCACGAGCCATTTAATCGAAAATTTTTCGCTCAAATTTTAAACGCATTGAAAATCTTCTGTTCTGTCTATGCAGGTACGGCAGCGAGCTCATGGTAGTCGAGTCGTACGGCGAGAACAACGTGTCGGCGAGCCTGATAGGCCGACATTTGGATCATTACTGGCTCGGGCTCGCCTCGCTCGACGATCTTCGCACCAACACCTTGGAGTCGGCGGCCGGCATGCTCGTTTCGCAATATGCCGGTAAGTTAATAATACAATATTAATATTATTCTATCACTATCATCGAGGAGATCGTAAAAATTTCGCAAAGGACGTGTTCGAGGCATCGATCGGAATTCATCTGTAGAGCTTGGTCAACGCTTTCAGCCGTGGACGATTACAGCTTTTGTCACTGCATAATATAAATCGACTTACGAAATCGCGCTACGATATAAGCCTGTGCTGAATTTCGTCACATCGTAATTCACTCTGCGAGGAGAGAAAAAAAAGTATCGCCGCGTGAGCCGTGCTTTTCTTTCAACGGCGTGGCAGCGGCGATGGAAGTCGCGGGCGCGTAACGCGATGCACGGACAGCACCGCTCGTTTCGATAGAAAATAATAACATCGTCCGAGCATGACTTGAAATTCCGAGCAATAAACGAGCCTCTCGTGGCCTGTTGTTGTTGTGCACTTTTCTGCTGCGCCAACGCGGCTCAAATTGGTAGGTATGAATTCTCGGTGACGAAAAACTTTTAGAGAGACTATATATATTTCGTTGTTACAGTTATGATTCATCTGTATCTTATAATAAAAGTCTTTTTTTTTTTGTTGCCAAGTACGATCGCGCAAACTCAAATTCTCATCGATGTATTTTCTCGGTAATGATCTTGACGGTTAACGCTTTTTTGTCACGAATTACGATCCGCGCGCAGCTCGCGCTGGGCTAAATGAATTAAGAACGAACGACGAGTAATCCGCGCTAAAATGGCAAATACTTATCATCAGTCACTCGCGAATCCCGAAGCCTCAACGGAATCGCGCGCGCGGAGAAATTTTCTCTTCATCCTCCTATGAGCAACGAAAAAAAATCTCAATTGAGCACGCGCTCGTATACGTATAGTATATATATAAAGAAAATCCAGGACCCCGGCGCGCACACTTGGCCGTCGCATTATAATGTAAGAGCTGCCACAATCGTTACATCGAGGTCGTCGGCGGAAACGCGGAACTCGCGAGCGGCACGAAGACACACTTTTCTTAGATGCGCGCAGCTGCAAAACACATTCTCTCTCTCTCTCTTTCTCTCCTTTCCTATGCGCTGGCGCGCATATACTCTTACCTACTCAACGCACACACACACACACACACACGCAGACACACACATGTACGCGATCATGACGCGCTACGCTGCGTATCTCGATTTTTTTTCTCTCCGACGCATCGTGGCTCGCTCGGACTGCAAAAAAGAGCAAAAGAGATTGAACAAAAAAAAGAAAATTAATAACACGCATTGCAGCGAAGGGGATAATAAATCGTTTTGAGAGTAGATATGGACGCACTGGTAATTGAATAATCAATTAGATTTTCAATCAAATTGTGTTAATCGACTGTATTGGATTACTCTCTGATAAGTAATGCACGAGCTACAGCTTAGAGCTTCATCAAAGCGCTCCTGTGGAAATAAATGCATTAATTGTCAATGATTAAATTCGATCGAGTGCAGTAGTAAATACTGCATTCATAAATAAAACATTAATATTAATATAAATAGTATTAATTCAAGAGGTCGAGTGAAATTTTATTCTCATGCTATAAATTGTATATTATATATTAAAACAATGAATTGTAAAAAGTAAGCAAAAACTTGTAACACACGCGTGCATGTAGGTTTCTGGGCGCCTAAACAGCCGAACCCCCGTGAAGGTGAATGCGTCGACGTAAAAGTCAGCGACGATCAGCATCAATCTTGGGAGCTCACGACCTGCGAGTCTCTCCTGCCTTTCATGTGCCGTGCTAATGCCTGTCCAGCAGGTAAGTCATCGTCGCTTCTTCATTTTCCAGCTCAAATTCTCAACGTACGATTTTTTATTTATATTGACTCTCGGCAATTGTGTATCCGCTAAATAGGATCGTTCCACTGCTCGAACGGAAAGTGTATCAACGCGGCTTTCAAGTGCGACAAGCAGGATGATTGCGGCGATTACTCGGACGAGATCGATTGCCCGGCCAATTGTCACTACTACATGGCCAGCAGTGGCGACGTGGTCGAGAGCCCCAACTACCCACACAAGTACGCGCCGTTGAGCAACTGCAAATGGACTCTCGAGGGTCCGCAAGGACACAACATTCTCTTGCAGGTATATAAATAGCCGTGATAAGCTTGCTCAATTAAAGCGTCCGTACCTTTTTTTTCTTCCTTTTTACTGTACGACACACGGCCGACTTATGCACACACATGCAAAGTACATAATAAACTGAAATCGAGCAGAGAAAAGGCGGCTGCTGCTGCGGTTGCGCAACGACTCGCAGAAGAATGGTTATTAATCGAAGCTCATCTGTCTGCTTTTCAGTTCCAAGAGTTCGAGACGGAAAAGAGCTTCGACATCGTGCAAATCCTGGTAGGCGGCAGAACCGAGGAAAAAGCAGTGAGCCTCGCGACGCTGTCGGGCAAGCAGGATCTCAGCACGAAGCACTTCGTTTCCGCCTCGAACTTCATGATTATCAAGTTCAGCACGGACGGCTCCGTCGAGCGCAAAGGATTCCGGGCTAGCTGGAAGACCGAACCGCAGACCTGCGGCGGTGTGCTGCGCGCCACGCCTCAGGGTCAGATGCTCACGTCTCCGGGCTATCCACACAATTATCCGGGCGGTCTCGAGTGCCTCTACGTGCTGCAAGCCCAGCCGGGAAGGATCATTTCGCTCGAGGTAACGGAAAACACATTTTTTTTCTATTCCCTCTTTCTCTTTCTGTTTCAACGACCTTTCGATGCGACCGATGCGTTTTTATGACTCGCTTGTACCAACCAACCGTTTATACGACGATTACAGATCGATGATGTCGACTTGGAAGTCGATCGCGACTACATTTTGGTGAGAGACGGCGAATCGCCGATGAGCCGACCTATCGCCCGCATAACCGGTACCAAGGACGACAATCCACGCGTCATCATGTCAACCGGTAGCCACCTCTACTTGTACTTCAAGACGAGCCTCGGCGACTCGAAGAAGGGCTTCAACATTCGCTACACTCAAGGCTGCAGGGCCACCATTCTGGCGCAGAACGGCACCGTGCAGTCACCGTCCTACGGACTCAACGATTACCCCAATAACCAAGAGTGCCTGTACCGAGTGAAGAATCCCCGCGGAGGACCGCTCTCGTTGAAATTCACCAATTTCAACGTTCACAAGACTGACTACGTGCAGGTTTACGACGGTCCGAACACCAACGGATTGAGACTGCACTCCGGCAACGGATTCACGTCGAACACGAGGCCGAAGATCACGCTCACCGCCGAGAGCGGTGAAATGTTAATTCGCTTCGTATCGGACGCGTTGCACAGTAGCACCGGATGGCAAGCCACCTTCTCAGCTGGTATTTAACTAGTCAATTGCTTTGCGAGATCGTTAAAATAATTAAAATCACATTCTTACGATATTATTTTCTTCCATTAGATTGCCCACCGCTGCAACCAGGTGAAGGTGCCTTGGCTTCGAGCCGAGATACCGCCTTCGGTACCGTCATCACTTTCTCCTGCCCCATGGGACAGGAGTTCGCGACTGGAAAGGCCAAGATCACCACCGAGTGCCTGCCAAGCGGCAACTGGTCCATCACCTACATACCGAAATGCCAAGAGGTCTATTGCGGCCCGGTGCCTCAGATAGACAACGGATTCTCCATCGGATCCACCAACGTCACTTACCGAGGCGTAGCTACTTACCAATGCTACGCCGGATTCGCTTTCTCGACCGGCCGACCTACGGAAAAAATCTCCTGCATGGCCGACGGTATTTGGGAAAAGAAACCGGCCTGTCTGGCGTCGCAGTGCCCACCGCTGCCGGAAGCCCCGCACGCCAATCTGACCATTCTCAACGGCGGCGGCAGGAGCTACGGTACCATTGTGCGTTTCGAATGCGAGCCCGGTTACGTAAGGACCGGCCACCCCGTCATTCTCTGCATGAGCAATGGAACCTGGTCCGATAGCGTACCAGTCTGCACTCGTAAGTGGACAATAAATTATATCGATAAGACCTTACAGTAGATTGTAATAGGCGTCGATTCGACGAATTTCAACGCGTGACTTGCACAATTTTCCACAGGCGCCGAGTGTCCCATTCTGCCCAGCATTAAAAATGGCTTCGTCGTTGATTCATCGAAGGACTATTTCTTCGGTGACGATGCACGAGTCCAATGCAATCGCGGCTATAAACTAACGGGTTCCAACATCATAACTTGCGGTCCCTCGCAACGTTTCGAAAACGTGCCCACCTGCGAAGGTAAGGAAATTCAATAGTTATTTTCACGCGTATAAAATATAATATACTCGGCCAAATTCCTGCTCGGCAGAAAATGCTATAATTTATTGTTGATTTTATCTTTCACGCACGCACGCACAGACATTAACGAGTGCGCCTCGAGCCAGTGCGATTTGGCTTCGACGGAATGCATCAACACGCCCGGCGCGTTTTCCTGCAAGTGCAAATCAGGCTTTTCCTCAACAATGGAATGCCGGCCAATTGGCGATCTCGGACTGATTAATGGCGGCATACCCGACGACTCGATTACCGTATCAAGTTCCGAGAGTGGATATACAAAATCGGTAAGGATTATATTTGCGAAATTTAAGCCTTGCCATCGAAAACGAGTTCGTGGATTATCGTGATTAACGTTGGCCAGTCTTGTTTTGCAAGTTTTCTCATAGTATCATTAATATTGTTGTTTATCTGCTTGCTCCCAATAGTAGTATTTACATTGAAAAAATCTAAAAACTTTGTATATTTCTTTCGTCTTTTTTTAAATATATATATATATATAACGAATGAATTTGTAATTACAGGGTATCCGATTGAACAGCGGTGATGGATGGTGCGGTAATAGCGTCGAGCCTGGCGCGAACTGGGCCATGATCGACATGAAGGCTCCCACCATAATCAGAGGCTTCAGAACTCAAGTTGTCGCTCGCGCCGATGGAAACATCGCCTTTACGACGGCTGTACGAATTCAATACACCGACGATTTGACCGATGTTTTCAGAGATTACACGAATCCCGACGGTACACCCGTAGAGTTCCGTATCCTCGAGGCCACTCTCTCCGTGTTGAATTTGCCGGTGCCGATCGAGACGCGCTTCATTCGCTTCCGCATTCAAGATTACATCGGAGCTCCCTGCATGAAGCTCGAAATCATGGGCTGCACTCGACTCGAGTGTACCGACATCAACGAGTGCGCCACCAACAACGGTGGTTGCCATCAGAAATGCATCAACAATCCGGGCGGTTTTACATGCTCCTGTAACACCGGCTACGAGCTCTACAAAGGCAACGGCACTGCTGGATTCCCCATCGCTAGATCCGAGAACGGAGAACGCGACGGTGATCTGTATCAGAGAAACAAGACCTGCGTCCCTGTCATGTGTCCCACGTTGCCGGCTCCCGAAAACGGAAAAATTTTATCTACTCAATCTCAGTTCCACTTTGGCGATCTGATCAAATTCCAATGCGACTTTGGTTACGTTCTCGCTGGCGCCTCGTCGCTTCTGTGTACTTCTTCTGGCATATGGAACGGCACGACACCCGAATGTCAATTCGCCAAATGCGTGTCTCTTCCAGACGACAAGAATGAAGGTCTCGCCGTTGTAAGAAGCGACGAAACCAGCGTTCTCGTTCCATTCCAACAAAACGTAACGCTGAAATGTAACAACAACGGACGCTCCCTGCGCCACAGCGTTACCGCTGGATTCCGTCAGTGCGTGTACGATCCCAAACCAGGTTATCCGGACTATTGGCTCTCGGGAGCTCAACCGTCTTGCCCAAGAGCCGACTGTGGAAAACCATTGCCAACTCCAGGTGCCGAATACGGCCAATATCAGGACACGAAATACCAATCGTCATTCTTCTTTGGTTGCCAAGACACGTTCAAACTTGCTGGACAGACCAGCCGCCACGACAACGTAGTCCGATGCCAAGCCAACGGTGTCTGGGACTTTGGTAATCTTCGTTGCGAGGGTCCAGTTTGCGAAGATCCTGGCAGACCCCCAGATGGTTATCAAATCGCCAGAAGCTACGAGCAAAGTTCCGAGGTTCAGTTCGGTTGTTCTCGACCTGGTTACATTTTGATCAATCCAAGACCGATCGTGTGTCTTCGAGAGCCTGAATGCAAAGTTGTCAAACCTCTAGGTTTGGCTTCCGGAAAGATTCCAGACTCCGCGATCAACGCGACCTCGGAAAGACCAAACTACGAAGCTAGAAATGTAAGACTTAACTCCGTCACTGGATGGTGCGGTAAACAAGAGGCATTCACTTACGTGAGCGTAGACATGGGCCGCGTTTATCGAATCAAGGCTATTTTAGTCAAAGGTGTCGTAACCAACGATATTGTTGGAAGACCAACCGAGATTCGATTCTTCTACAAACAATCTGAAAATGAAAACTACGTCGTTTACTTCCCTAATTTCAACCTCACCATGCGCGATCCTGGAAATTACGGAGAACTTGCGATGATCACTTTACCGAAATACGTTCAAGCTAGATTCGTAATTCTTGGAATCGTCAGTTACATGGACAATGCTTGTTTGAAATTCGAATTGATGGGATGCGACGAGCCAGAAGTCGAACCATTGCTCGGATACGACTACGGATTCTCGCCATGTGTCGATAACGAACCACCGATATTCCAAAATTGTCCACAACAGCCGATCATGGTTCAGAAGGGCCCTGACGGTGGACTCTTACCGGTCAATTTCACCGAACCCACTGCTATCGATAACAGTGGAAGCATCGCTCGATTGGAAATCAAACCACAGAGCTTCAAGACGCCGATCAAAGTTTTTGAAGACACCGTTGTCAAATATATCGCTTACGATTACGACGGAAACGTTGCCATTTGCGAAATCAACATCACCGTGCCAGATGTGACTCCGCCGAAACTGAGCTGCCCGCAGAGTTACGTCATCGAGCTCGTCGATAAATTGGACAGCTACAACGTCAATTTCAACGAGACGAGACGCAGAATAAACACGACCGATGCCTCGGGCCCGGTGCACATCGCGTTCATGCCCGAGCGCGCTGTCATTCCGATCGGTGGTTTCGAGAACGTAACTGTTGTCGCTACCGATTCGAGCGGAAACAAAGCTACGTGCAACTTCCAGGTATCCGTGCAAGCGACGCGCTGCGTCGATTGGGAATTGAAACCACCCGCGAACGGTGGTCTCAAGTGTCTGTCGAACGACAAGGGCTTGCAGTGTATCGCCACCTGTAAATCTGGCTATAGATTCACCGATGGTGCGCCTGTCAAGACCTACTCCTGCGATGTGAAGACCCATTGGAAACCAGCCTCCCTTGTACCGGACTGCGTTTCGGAAAATACCCAACAAGCCGATTATCACGTCATTTCTTCGGTAACTTATCGCGCCAATGGAGCAGTTTCTCGTCAATGCTTGCCCCAATATCAAGATCTTTTGGCTCAGTACTATTACAATCTTAACCAAGTTTTGACTCAGCGTTGTTCCGCTGTCAATGTACACATGAACGTATCTTTCGTACGATCTATTCCATCTCTTCTCGAAGAAAATGTCTTGAAGATGGACTTCATACTGGCAATTATCCCGGCAATACGTCAACCTCAACTGTACGATCTTTGCGGATCGACTCTCAGTTTGATCTTCGATCTATCTGTCCCATACGCAAGCGCCGTCATCGAACCTTTGCTCAATGTATCAGCCATTGGAAATCAATGTCCACCTTTGCGTGCCCTCAAGTCTTCGATCTCTCGTGGATTCACGTGCAGCATCGGAGAAGTACTCAATATGGATACCGCCGATGTTCCTAGATGCTTGTACTGTCCAGCAGGAACGTTCGCTGGCGAAAAACAGCAAAAATGTACTCCTTGCTCCAAGGGATACTACCAAAACAGCGATCGTCAAGGTTCATGCTTGCGTTGTCCTTTCGGAACTTACACCAAGGAAGAAGGCTCAAAGAGCATCGACGACTGCGTCCCTGTATGTGGATACGGTACTTACTCGCCGACTGGTCTCGTTCCTTGCCTCGAGTGTCCTCGTAACAGCTACACCGGCGAGCCTCCGATCGGTGGATTCAAAGACTGTCAAACTTGCCCGACTGGCACCTTCACCTACCAACCGGCAGCTCCTGGCAAAGACAGATGTCAAGCCAAATGTACCCCTGGCATGTATTCGGACACCGGACTCGCTCCTTGCGCTCAGTGCCCCAAGGACTTCTTCCAACCTCAACACGGTGCCACGACCTGCATCGAGTGTCCGACCCAGATGTACACCGACAAACCCGGCGCAGTCGGTCGCGAGGAGTGCAAACTCGTACAGTGTACCGACAACGTGTGTCAGCACGGAGGTCTCTGCGTGCCGATGGGCCACGGACCTCAATGCTTCTGTCCAGCTGGATTCTCCGGAAGACGCTGCGAGATCGACATCGACGAGTGTGCCTCGCAACCATGCTACAACGGCGCCACTTGCATCGATTTGCCGCAAGGATACAGATGCCAATGTGCTACTGGATACTCCGGTATCAATTGCCAAGAGGAAAAATCCGATTGCAGAAACGACACATGTCCCGAAAGAGCCATGTGCAAAGACGAGCCAGGTTTCAACAACTACACCTGCCTCTGCCGATCCGGATACACCGGAGTCGATTGCGACATTACTATCAATCCTTGCACCACCAATGGCAATCCTTGCCAAAACGGAGCTAGCTGCATTGCCCTTCAACAAGGCCGTTACAAATGCGATTGCCCACCTGGCTGGGAGGGTCAGAGCTGCGAAATCAACACGAACGATTGCGCCGAGAAGCCTTGTCACTTGGGTGCTAACTGTACCGACTTGATCAATGACTTCACTTGCGATTGTCCACCAGGATTCACTGGTAAACGTTGCCACGAAAAGATCGACTTGTGCTCTGGAAACCCTTGCCTGAACGGCATCTGCATCGACAAATTATTCAGTCACGAATGTATCTGTAGTCCCGGCTGGACAGGTCAGGCTTGCGAGATCAACATCAACGAGTGCGCCAACCGGCCTTGCCGCAACAACGGACAGTGCACCGATCTCATCAACGACTACTCGTGCTCTTGCGAGCCTGGTTACACCGGCAAACAATGTCAGCACACCATCGACGACTGCTCCTCGAATCCTTGCGTCAACGGCGCTACCTGCATCGATCAGCTCGAAGGATTCACTTGCAAGTGTCGACCTGGCTTCGTTGGACTTCAGTGCGAGGCGGAAATCGACGAGTGTCTCAGCGATCCTTGCAGCCCCGTTGGAACGGAACGTTGCGTCGATCTCGACAACCAGTTCGTGTGCCAATGTCGCGAAGGTTTCACCGGTGCCACCTGTGACGCCAACATCGACGACTGCATGTCCAACCCTTGTCTCAATGGTGCAACCTGCAGAGACGAGGTCGGTGGCTTCAAATGTATGTGCAAAGATGGCTGGACCGGAACTCGTTGCGAAGTCGACGTCGGTACCTGCCAAAACAAACCATGCCAAAACGACGCCGCTTGCGTCGATCTCTTCCAAGATTTCTTCTGCGTCTGTCCCTCTGGAACCGACGGAAAGAGATGCGAAACCGCGCCGGAGCGTTGCATCGGCAATCCCTGCATGCATAGCGGTCGCTGCCAAGACTTTGGTTCCGGCCTCAATTGCTCCTGCCCCGACGACTACACAGGAATTGGCTGTCAATACGAGTACGACGCCTGTCAAGCTGGAGCCTGCAAAAACGGCGCCACTTGCATCGACAACGGCGTTGGCTTTACTTGTGTCTGTCCTCACGGTTACACTGGTAAGACTTGCGAGGAGGACATCATCGATTGCAAGGAGAACTCGTGCCCACCATCGGCTACCTGCATCGATCTGACTGGCAAGTTCTTCTGTCAGTGTCCGTTCAATCTTACCGGCGACGACTGTCGCAAATCCATATCGGTCGATTACGACTTTTACTTCAGCGATCCAACGCGCAGCAGCGCCATGCAGGTCATTCCCTTCTTCACCGGAGCCAAGAAGAGCTTGACCGTCGCCATGTGGGTGCAATTCACCCAACGCGACGAGGCCGGCATCTTCTTCACCATGTACGCCGTCAGCTCTCCTCACGTACCCACGAATCGTAGACCCATGATTCAGGCTCACAGCAACGGAGTTCAAGTCTCGCTCTTCCACGATCTCCAAGACGTGTATCTTCCGTTCAGAGAGTACGCCACGATCAACGACGGACAATGGCACCATATCGCCGTCATCTGGAACGGAGAAAACGGCGGCGAGTTGACTCTGATCACCGAGGGTCTCATCGCCAGTAAAACCGAGGGCTACGGAAGCGGCAGAACGATACCGTCGTACGCCTGGACGGTGCTCGGCAGACCTCAGAGCGACGGCAGCAAGAGTTACACCGAGGTCGGCTTCCAAGGACACCTCACCAAGGTACAGATTTGGGAGCGCGCTCTGCACGTCACCAACGAAATTCAGAAGCAAGTTCGCGACTGCCGCACCGAACCGGTTCTGTACTCCGGTTTGGTTCTCACTTGGTCCGGTTACGACGAGGTGATCGGTGGAGTCGAACGTATCGCACCGTCGCACTGTGGACAGCGCGTCTGTCCCCCGGGTTACGGTGGCAACAAATGCCAGCAACTGGAATCCGATAAAATCCCACCGAGAGTCGAGCATTGCTCGGGCGATCTCTGGGTCATTGCCAAGAACGGCTCGTCGATCGTCAACTGGGACGAGCCCAAATTCAGCGACAATGTTGGAGTCGTCAAGGTGCAGGAAAAGAGCGGACACCGATCCGGACAGGCTCTACTCTGGGGCACTTACGACATCAGCTACGTTGCCTACGATCAAGCTGGCAATGCTGCTAGCTGCAACTTCAAAGTCTACGTTCTCCGTGAATTCTGTCCAGAGTTAGCTGACCCTGTTGGTGGAACTCAGCAATGCAAAGATTGGGGCTCGGGTGGTCAGTTCAAGGTCTGCGAGATCAAGTGCAACGCTGGCTTGAGATTCGCCGAGGAGGTGCCGAAATTCTATACTTGCGGTGCCGAAGGTTTCTGGCGTCCAACCAACGATCCAGCCTTACCGCTGATTTATCCAGCCTGTACTAGCGCTTCGCCAGCTCAACGAGTCTTTAAGATCAAGATGAACTTCCCAACTTCGGTACTTTGTAACGAAGCTGGTCAGTCGGTACTGAAACGACAGGTCGAAGATGCCGTGAACTCGCTCAATAAAGAATGGAACTTCTGCTCCAATCTATTCGAAGGTAAATATAATTCATGGATTCTCAATTCGTCAATCAATATGCGCAATTATTCATAAATGATTACCACCCACAGGAACACGGGATTGTAGAGATCTGAAAATTAACGTTCAGTGCGATCATCGCACGCGTTCAAGGCGACAGGCTACTGAAGATGACGCCGGAACATACGAAGTCAGCGTAGAAATTTTGACCGAAGCGTGAGTACATTTTTACCATATTAATAATATTAAAAAAAATATCTCATTTTGAAATCTTACCAAAAATAAAAGTAAAGAAAGGTCGTAGATATTTTAAATCAATAAAATATACAGTGTTTAAAACTGAAAATATTTTATTACTCACTAGAATGAGACAAGCCCGCCAAGGCAGTGATACCTACGAAGTGGAAATCTCATTCCCAGCTATAAAGTAAGACTGAGTTTTCGCGAACAGACATTAGTAAACATGATTTGTAACACAAATCACTTTTGTCTAACCGTCACTAATAAGGGTTAATTATCCTACAAGGGGCTACATTTATTAGTTTTAAAATCCCTTTGAATATTACAAAGACATAAGTATTAGTTTAGATGAAAAACAAAATAATCATTCTGAAATATATTTACAAAATATTTTATTACTTTTTTAACAAATCAGTATTTATAGTCGTTGGATCGGTGCATGTGCTTATTGATTTATAAGTAATATAATATAAGTTTACTTTACATATTACATACATAGAATTGGGTTCTCTAGGATTAAACTCTTTTTAGAGCTATAAGTCTTAGAGCTTTTTGATGTAGTAGTTGTATTAAAAAAAACTTAATATAACTATTAATTTAGTTTAGTTTGCGCCATTAATTCGTACGCAACGTAGGATAAATTTTTAAATGAACACCAGGAAAAGACAAATGGTTCATTACAAAATACATATAAACGTACTCCAGTGACTACCCCATTGTTGAATAATATCAAAATAATAAATTACGAGTATTTTATTAATATATGTCAAACAGATTAATAATTATATGTGTCTGTACATAAATAATAATCAGTATAATGAATGTTTGTTGAGTGGTACCATAATTTTGAAAACTAACATAAAATTATTTCTTCAGTGATCCAATTTTGAACTCAAACACGAACGAAAGACAGACCATTCAAACTCTATTGGAGAAACTCATTTTGGAGGAAGATAAATTCGATGTGCGTGAAATTCTACCGAACACTGTTGCTGATCCAGCCTCTCTAGTCTTGGAATCCGATTACGCTTGCCCGATCGGACAAGTTGTAATGGCTCCCGATTGTGGTAATTATTTTTCTTATTTTAAACATTAAACATATCTTTTCAATATCTCCATAAGAAAAATTCAACTCATAATTCTTTTCTCGTGACAGTGCCATGTGCCATCGGTAGCTACTACAACAAAGCCACTCAGAAATGTGAGTCGTGCCCGGTCGGCACCTATCAGAACAAGTCCGGCCAGCTCAAGTGCAACCAGTGCCCCGCGATCTCGGGCCGACCGTCCGTGACGATCGGCGTCGGTGCTCGCAGCATCGAAGATTGCAAGGAGAGCTGTCCAGCCGGCAAATACTACGACGAGGGCTCGGCCGCTTGCAGAAGCTGCGGACACGGCTTCTACCAGCCTGAGGAGGGTAGCTTCTCGTGCATGCTCTGCGGTCTCGGCAAGACGACCCGCACGGCCGAGGCTGTGTCGCGCGAGGAGTGCCGCGACGAGTGCGGCTCGGGACAGCAGCTCGCCGTGGAAGGCAAGTGCGGACCCTGCCCGCGAGGAACTTACAGAACTCAGGGAGTCCAAGCGGCCTGCCAAGCCTGTCCTCTGGGCAGGACGACGCCCAACCTTGGCTCCGCTACCGTTGATGAGTGTTCTTTGCCCGTTTGCGAGGCTGGAACCTACCTCAACGGAACCCTCAACGAGTGTATAGAGTGTAAGAAGGGTACTTACCAACCGGAGGCTCAACAGACATCTTGCATACCTTGCCCGCTGAACAGCAGTACCAAAGGACCCGCGGCTGTGAGTAACACTTTGAACCTTCATACTAGATCGAAAAGGAGTAATTATTGAATTGCAAACTAATTAATTGTTACGCCTCCACAGACGAGCAAAGACGAGTGCACGAATCCTTGCGAGGTCAAGGGTAAAGAGATGCACTGCGACCCGAACGCCTACTGTCTCGTACTGCCCGAGACGAGCGACTTCAGGTGTCAGTGCAAGCCCGGCTACAACGGAACCGGCTACACGTGCCAGGATGTCTGCGACAACTTCTGCGACAACGAGGGCGTCTGCCACAAAGACGCTCGAGGTACGCCCGCTTGCAGGTGTAGCGGCAGCTTCACCGGCAAGCACTGCACCGAAAAGTCCTCGTTCTTCTACGTCACCGGTGGCATTGCCGCCTGTGTCGCTCTGTTCATCATCATCGGTCTTCTCATCTGGATGATTTGCGTCAGGTATGGATATTGCATCATTTCTTTTCTCCACCCTTCATAGATAAGACGCCTCGATTAATTTTTTTCGTAATTTTTTTTTGCCAACAGAGCGTCCAAGAGGAAGGAACCAAAGAAAATGTTATCACCGGCGACGGATCAGAACGGCTCGCAAGTGAACTTCTATTACGGCGCGCCGACGCCATACGCCGAGTCGATCGCGCCCTCGCATCACAGCACCTACGCGCACTACTACGACGACGAGGAGGACGGTTGGGAAATGCCCAACTTTTACAATGAGACTTACATGAAAGGTAAGGCCGAATCTGAGCGATCAGACGCCATCATATTTTAAGCACACGTATGCAATTCTTAAAAAAAAAATTGAAAATAACGCGAGCCAAAATAAGCATAGTATGCCTTAACAAAAATGCACACACAAGAGCAAATAATTGAACTGTAAAAATTGTATCCACAACGTTTGCACGTATCCACCGCAATTATGCATATAAATAAAAGCCAACGTTATTATATCATTAATTATAATAAACGTTATCACGAGTGTGCTGCTACATAATTATTCACTTGCTTATAGACAGAAAAAGAAACAAAATGAATTGTATATGTTGATTACTATTATATCTCTAATTTTTTATAAATATGAACAAAAAGTGCCTATTGTAAAAATGATTATTCTTTGTTCACGTTGCACGCAGAGAGTTTACACAATGGCGGCAAAATGAATAGCCTCGCACGATCGAACGCGAGCATTTACGGTACGAAAGATGATCTGTACGACAGGCTGAAACGCCACGCGTATCCCGGAAAGAAAGGTTCGTAGCAAATTTAAAAAGAAAAAAAAGAAACACATTTGCATTATCAAAGCACAAGACTATACAATCTCCTTCATTACAATATATGAACTTATTTTGTATGCCATTATGCCATACATTATCATAATATTTTCATTCATCATCATCATCAACATCATCATCATCATAAGCCATCATTATTATTATCTATCGATTTTTTCGCACGATCATTTCTTGATTATTTCTTTATAAATATTTACCTTTATATACATGCCTGCATTACGCATAATTGCTCAAGCTTTACATTTGCTAATTATATCGCTCTGACTCAACGATAATTTTCTGGTATTAAAAAGTTAATGTTTTTCAAATTTGTGCTAATTTATAGATAAGAGCGACAGCGATAGCGAAGGTCAGTGATTTTGCGGAATAATGTGGCCAATATCTCAATAGAACGTGACGAAAATTCCATTGTAACGCCCCCAAGATCAACGCACTTATTTATCAGACGTCGGCCAAGTGAATGATTCGTTTTTTGTTTTTGTTTTTTTTTATTTAGAAAAACTGTGAACAGAAAACTCAAAGATGTAATTATTGTAGACATTGTTTCAGTTTATTGTAATGACTTGTGTCTGGCAAAAAGCGGGAGCCAAGAGAGTTGAAAAGTGAACATTTAAAATCAAGCATAATATTTTGGAGCGAATCGCTTGAGAAAAAGTATCCTAAAGCTACGATCGATATGAGCAGGCAATTAATTGTTCAAAAATGTAAATGTAGTAAAAAAGTATAGTGAAAATTAATTAAAACGGAGAAGTACAGACGAACCCCTCCAATCGTGGCTTTGGGCTGTTTTCCTCGCGATTCGCTAGTCACGAAAATAATTAATACTCTGACTGGACGACTTATATATTATATTAATATTTTAAAATTAGAAATGATCAATATATTGCTTAAAATATTATACATATGTACCAAGTGTGATTGTTGTTGAGAACGTGAAAAAAAACATGTGTGTCTGGATCGTGCATTATTATAGTAATAAAATTTAGAAATTTAGGAAATATTCCGTCGATTTGTGAACTTCATAATACATGTTTTGTAATTTATTCAATGAGTGAATGAACTAGGATGATGCTTTTATATATATTATTGCAAACATGTCAATGCATAGCATCGGTTGTTTATTTTATTTTAATTATACAAGAAGTTTTATAAATATATTTGTCAGTCATAATTGTACATGTATGTTTCGTATATATTATATGATCGAATGAAACGATTCGTTCTTAACACATTATTTCATTGTAAGTTTCTCTAATTTTTCATTCAAGTCTTCCCAGTTTAATTGACTTTTTTATTCATGAATTAACGGTGCGAACGTAAAAATGTGTGTGCTGGATGTAATTACATTTATTTTAGTGAAGTAAGCTAGACTTAAGCGATTTTTTATTTTCCATAGATATATATTGTTATTTTATAAATATGTAACTATATTTTGTATAATAATTAATGTTACTTATTGGATCGAAGCAAAGTAGAGAAAAACCAATTTATAATGCGAAACGTTCGTTTGGATGTATCGACGATTTCACTGCGCCCTTAACATCTTATTATTGTCGTCGATCGTGCGAGCGAACGATCGTAAAATGTTTGAATTTAGAAATCAAATATATTTAATACAGAAAAAAACTGTGAGTTTACATAAAATTGTACGAGAAATTTTGTAAAGTGCTTCGATCGCTTGTTTTTAATAAAAATTATGACAATAGACTTGAATACGATGTTTACTTTCAGATAAAGATATAATCCGCACTTTTTAAGTTGCCATACTTAACCGACAGTCGCATAACGAGAAATCATTTCTTTCATTCGTTGGTAAACGCAAACTCTGCGATATTAACAGCTGCTGCGTATGCCTCCACACGCGCGCGCAGTCAAGGCTTTTAAGCTCCACGATCCCGGATACTAAACTTTCCAAGCGCGACAAACGACGACGTCGCGATTGGTCGAGACCCAGCGAAGCTTGTTTATTAGAGATTAAAGCTCGATCTCGATATTTTTCCAGAAATTAGGTTTATCAGCGGCTCTAAAACGATTCAAAAACATTTAATCGTCCGACATGACTCGACACGAGTATAGTGTGGTGCGCGCCGCGTCGCTGACGAGAAGTCGCGCAAGCGCATCCGTCGTGGAACCTTCGCGAAGTGCAGTGCCTTTCTACAAGATCGATAAACGCTTGTATCATTGAGAAAAAACAACAAACGCGACGTACGTCTGATTTTATCTAAATTGCAGCGCGTTTACGACGATATCGTGCACGACTCGAGTGCAAATTATATCAATATGAGGCTATAATTAAGTCGGCATTGTTTATCTTGTTCGAAGCTCCTTTTTTTCGGAGAACGACACTGAAAATGTGAGAGAAAAATGAGAGAAATATCATACGCACTCCATAAAATTGTTCATTGTACAAATACGCGATTGCTTTCGAACAAGTCGAGACCTGCAAACGAACGATGACGGCGAATATATACACACAGAATTGGTCTGGCTCCAACGTGTCTGGACGGCTATCATTGGTCGACGGTGACGTCGTCCGATCCGGCATTGGTTCGAGGGCGCCGAGGTCTGTTCGCAAAAAACGACTGACGTAAATCGGACTGGCGGCGGTTGCTTGTGGCGCATAATAGTAACACAAAGTGGCGGCGCAGTATATGCTAGCTGTGCAGGCTGTGCTATATGCAGCGTTTCGTCTACGCACATATACTGTACACACGTTTAACACTCCCACCGGTCGCCGCCGCTGTGCTACACTATACACGCCGCTGCACGATCTCTCGCGACAGAACGAATTCTCCTTTCGAGCTGAACAGACGCGCTTCTACGCAGTGACTTTTTGACGAGCTCCGCATAGCACGAATATATATTTTAGACACACTCGTGGCTAGAGACACACCGGTTCGTTATATATAGGTAAAACATTCTACCTTCGCAAGTGATCATTTATACCCATTTAAAAAGCTCGAAGCCAACTGAAAATTCATATTTTCAGTGCTGAATCTTCTGGAACGAAGTACAGCACAGTTATACACGGACAAGCAACAGGCAAGATAGCAGCTGCATCGTAAGAAGACAAGCATCTTCTTTCTCGGCGCATATTAAAGTCAACGAGACATAAGTCTTTTCAGGAGGGTGAGTACATCAAAAAACTTATTTAATTTCAATTTCACGAATTTTACTGTCAAAATTTTGAGGCTGACGAAATCCCTGCCGCTAACTGTTACGTAAAAACCCAGAACTATATAGATATATAATGTGCATATATATATATATATATACATCTATGCGACTCCACATCGTCCATCGGTCGTTCTCCAGTTCGAACAAGTTCACATGATCTTTCTAAGCAAAAAAAGAGCATATAGCTCTTTTTACGTAACACAATTTTGTTATATACTGCAAAAATGACTCACTTTTTATAATTAAAATACTCGGCGCGGCGCGGATCGTTATTAAATTGTTTTCTCGGAAAAAAAAACGATCGCGGCGATCCGCGTGCATGGCATGTAGCATGCTTGCTGCTGCAGTCGAAGAAAAATCGATAACGCTATTTTTGCTGCCGTGGCGCAGATCGACAGAATGTATAAGTAAACAAATTATTAGCTAAGTCTATAGATATATCGAATCTGTATATAATTAAGTGTTCTTCTGGAAGCGTGTCGCTGCCGCACGAGATCCGCTTCTCTCCCCGAGTTCTTTTCTCGTGTGCCGTGTGCTTCTCTTTGTACTACTGTACTCTATACTATACAGCAGCCGAGGCAGAACTTTCCAGAAAGTCGTCACGCGCCTAGCATCCGCTCGCCAAGGCATTATTATCTCGAGTCGTTGATGTTTTTTTAAATTTAAAGAGAAAAAAGAGTCGTATAAAAAAGAGAGAATAATAATAATAATAATAATAATAATCGATCGATAAATGATCGGAAAATTTTGCGCGGCTCTCTCCCTTATTACGGACGAAAGCCGATCGCGTTACACTTTTGACAAATCGATCGTGCAAATACGCGATATTCAAGTAAGTTCTTTGTGCTTTACGCCCGGCTATATATGATGTATGTATGAACGCGATGGGTGGCGTGGAATCGTGTTACGTAACGTATAGTACGTCGCAGTCGTGCGACTTGGTCAAGCTACGTATTCGTTTCGCGCGTACTTGATATATAACTATATAAAATAGGTAAAATTTGTCGCTTCCGCGTGTGTTAGCTAGAAAATACTCGATGCCTGAGATCGCTATCTTTCGGCGTCGCGAGCCGAGCTTATCAAAAGTGGCTCATCGTACGATCGCATAATTACGATCCGGCCGCGTATGAGATCCTTTCGAGCGTGTAGGCGTGTGCAACATGCAGCTATGTATATGCGCGTCGCTTAGCTGCATGTGCACTGGTCCCTTCCCCCGAATTTGTAAACAGAAACTCGTCGTTTTTTGTCCGCCTGCCAGTTAATTAAAATCGCGCTCGAAAAACGAGTCTGTCGGCAAATTTCGTGACGCGTCAATGTGTATATACGCGTATATATACCGCACACAGCGAGGGGATGCACGAGAGGATGATGAAACTTTTTGCGAACGAAGCGCATGATACGCGCGCGCGAGAAAGGTATAAAATGCAGTACAACCTCTTGTAGCGGCGGTGGGGGGGATTCGCGAGTAACGATGACTCGGCGGTATTTCTCTTCTCTCCTTTCTGCGACGTAAACCTCGTGATGTGCTGCCTCCGACAGAGAGAGAGAGAAAATCGCTGGCCACGGTCAATGGACTTGCCATATTTGACTTTCCCGTCTGCAGTGTGCACCACGCTGCACTGCACTACGTTATGTATATACGCGGCCGCCCGAAAGACCGCGAGGCGCGTGCAGTACACATGCTTCTTGTTTTCTTGGCCTTTCGCCCGTGAAAATCATTCGCGTGGTACGATATGCGGTGCTTCGGTCAATCGATCGCCCTCATGCTCTATGCACCAGTTCAACTGCTCAAGACTATAGACCCTCGTCCGATAAATCGTCGATTCTGCGTTTGTCGCTGAGCTCGTTCCGTGTTTTATTCCGCGACGCAGGACAAGTTTTTTTTGTGTAAAATTAACGAACGATATAATCTGCCTTATACTTAACGTAAACGCCCATCGTGTGGCCCCTTCTCGAACTTTCGATTTATCAACGCGATTTTACGACGAATTTTACGGCGCGTGCGGATTTCGATGACGACTTATACTACACACGCCTCACACTGTTTGATTTTTAGTACTCGAGACGATCTACGAGCATAATGCGGCACTGTATAACATAGCATTGTTACGTAAGCCTTTTTATATCAGTACTTGGCGCGCTGCATCCATTTTATAGCTATACTTCAATTTTTAAACTTTGTATAACTTTTACGTACAATATATCTTTTGTTTAACACAATATTTATTTTTGTACCTCGTAACCCTTCAAGATTGGCGAATAAAATGGATTTTTTTTCTTTCTTATTACTGATGATTCCTCAACTAGTGGAAATTGATTATTAATTTTACAACCATTGCATAACGGTCGATTCAAGTTGAAATAAAATTTAACCTAATTGAAATTGGCCAAATAATTGTCTAATCGATGCGAGCATCATAACTCTGACTCGTGGAGAGATATTCTGGAAACTATTACATAACTCTACCGAACTAAGATGTCGTTTTCTTAAACCGTGAATCAACCTATTTTATGCGCAAAAGTATTATATAACCAAAAATAAAATTAAAAACTTGATCTAAAAAATAAATTCTGATAAGATATTAAACCAGAATTAAATCGCAAAAACTGAAAAAGGATCACGCGCGAAAACATGAAAACCATCAATACATTGATGTATAGTACAACATCATGTATGTATACTCCGCGTGCTTTTATAACTTCGTGAGTTAGAGTATATTATAGCAATGAATCATGCGACGACAAAAAGGCGTCGCGCTGCCGCTGAAAAACATTTTAATTCGATTTTAGAGCAGCTGATAATTCAATTGCAAAGCTGCACAGAATGCATAGCAATTTCGTAAAAAGCCCGAAAATTGCGCAAAAAAATACACTAATTTCGAATCAACTGCGAGAGACAAATTGCCAAGAGCTGACCCAAGTTACATCACGATCGGAACTACTGTTAACGTATCGACGCATTTTTACGTTTCAACTTGTGCTTATACTTATTATATACATTGGATCGATATAAACTGACGCATCTCGACCTGCACGTTACGTGCGTAAAATTACATTCCTGCCTCGCGTTTTAATTATGTTCATCAAATTATTATCTTTTGCGTTGTGGCGCGTCGTTTTATATCGATATCAGCGATTATACGACTCGCTGATAGTGCACTTTTTCACTCCTCGGTCACGTGTCATTAATTTTTTTTAACGATTTAATTTTGCAGGTATCCAGAATCCCTCCTATTTACGAGAGCTCAACGGCTAGCAACATTCCTATTGTACACCGGGTCGAACTCAAAGTAAGTACTGATTCTCGGAGGACGCATCAACTAATGCATGCCACTCCCGAACTAATAGAGATGCACAAAACGATCCTGGCATACATCACTAATGCATTGAGGCCGATTTCTACTGAAGCTAATCAACTTTTCAATTTGGAGTGCTTTAATTCTATAACTGTTGTTACTTACTTTTCTCTCCTAACAAAATTTTCACAGATTTAGAAAAAAAAATGATCGAGTCAATGTTGAAAAAAATCTACGACGATAACTTCATTTACATGGACTGTAAAATTGTCAGCGACAAATTTTTTAACTGGGATAGCTATGGATGACGGATTATGGAACGATCTTTTAACCAATAGTACAGGACTTTCTTTTTCTTTATTTACCTTAGTTTTAAGGCCTTGTTTTGACTTACTAATCACACTCCCTACTATGATTACAGACTGCTACATACTTGTCTAAAGCTTCAATCAGTCATTAGTTACCTCCATCCATTATTTTTTTTTTGCTTTTTTTATTTTTTTAATCGAGTAAAAATGTTCGGTAACACTCAATGCTTAGAGAATGCATGGGGAACAAGTCCCTTTAGCGATGAGTTCCTTGACTTGGGAACGTTACCGCACGTTAAACCTAAAGCACGGATAATAAGTGACGTTTTATTGGTACCTCCGAAGGAACTTGCAACATGCAATCCAAAACAAGCCCAGTCAGCTGCTTCTCGTGGCGTGAGATTTCCGACGGCGGCATCAGGACCGGACTTCCTCGCCCCGGTGAAATCCAAGACCATACCGCTGTTGACCCCCGAAATGGAAGAGGAGATGATCAGGAGCAGCAGCAGCAAGGCCTATCAGCGCTTAATGAACAACAACAACGTCTGGCAACAACCGGAGCTAAGATTCGCCCAAGGGCCAGCGGCGAGCTGTGCGGCGGCGACTCCTCGGTCACGACGTCAGCCGAGGCCGCCATCGCTTGCCACCGCCAGCAGCTGCGCTGCCGAGGATCATGCGGAGGCGGTCACCGCCTCGAGCGGAGTTATCGGCGGAGGCCTAGTTACGGACTCAGCCTCGGTACCACAACTTACTACTTGGGAGGAAAACTTTCAGGATCTCAGCGACTGGTGCGACACGCCATGCGAATTTCCTGCAGGTGAATCGAGCCTCGCGACGAGTAATATTATAACAGGTGAGTCGATAGCGCGTGCCAATTTTCTGTTTTTGCAAATAGCCTCATTTATGCACTCGCAAAAGGAAAATCTCGACTCGTGCTCGCGGACTCGCTTCGTAAGCTTTTTGAACTCGATCCAAAAATTGTAATCTATTCGGCCTTTATGTAATAACGCGTGATATTCGTTTGTCGACGCTTAATTGACTCAAATTTGTTTTGCACATTGCTGCAAACGTTCAACTTGGCGTAATAGTTTCGAAATTTTTGTTACGAACTTTGCGGAGGTTAACGTGCAGGCATCGAGAACCCGCAATTTATCGAAACATGAAACTTCAACTTGAAATTGGTTTGATTCTTAACTTACCGTGTACGATAATGATAGTCATCGTAATTTCGAATATTGCTGTATAGTAAAATGAAATAATCATAATATAGCGCATTTTAAAAATTACTTTTGCACGATTCAAATTCCGAGTTACGTACTGAATAGTATTAAAGTTGTGAATATAATTACTTCATTTATTGCTACACATTACAATATCAATTATTTAATTGATTTGTTATTGTATACCAGAGACATGCTTTGCATAATTTTCGTAGAAAATAACTAGTCATTTTAAAATTTCAGGTACGTTGAATGGAGGGAACGCCACTATTGAATCAACGACAGCAACTATACCGGGAGCAGTAACGCCTACTTTAACTAATGGAAAATTCACGCTCAATACAAAGGGCATAGAGACAAACCGTTTAGGACTGCGAACTGTGGTTCAAGTGCCGCCGATACCGCGGCCAGCGCCACGCCCGCAGCAACTCAATCCGTATCAACTGGACCATCCTTATCCAGTGATTTTACCTCAAAGCAATAGTAACAATCAAGAACAACCATATTACAACTTGGATTTAAAGACCAGTAACATTGAAAATGATATTAAAGTCGAAGATATGGAGTGGATGAAGACGAAAGTAAAGCCTGAAGTCGATACTAATATTGATAATTTGAATAATAATGCTAAGTGGTCAGATTTGAATGATTTCGACGTTTTTGGAAGTCTGACGATTTTACCGTTAAGTCAACAGTCGCTCGATTCTAGGGAAATAAATCAAGATCTTCTTCGATCATTTGATTCTGATTTTGGAGGATTGGACTTAGATTCTCTGCTTAACGTAAGTTTCAATTTATATGACGATTATTTCAAATATTGACAATTCAAATGATTTAAAAATATTTTAAAATTCAGGAAGGAGTAACGCAGTCTCCGGAGGACAGTATATCGACCAATTCGTCACGGGTCACTGATCTTTGCGGCAGTCTGCCACAATTTTCAGTCGAAGATTCTGTAGCCGCGCAAATAGCTGTATCCCCAATTACGTATGAACCGGTCGTTTCACCGCCGAGCGTTGAAAATATATCTCTTAGACCTAAGGTCGAATATTCTATGGACACGTCACCTTCAACTTCCACCGGGACGTCGTCACCGTTGCGACCGATCAGCAACGATCGACAGTTGCGCAACGTCAGTGTAAAAATTGAAAAGCCCGATAGTCCAGACGACGGTAGCATTTCGACCGGGACCGAGACGACCGAGAGACGTTCAACGCGTAAGAGGAGAGTGCGCGAGCTGTCGGTGTCGAGCAGCACTACAACCAACTCCACCAGACCGACCAAGAGCAGGAGGCGAAGTTACAAATCGATCAGTGAATCTCATGACGAGGATGGAAACGACGTGGATGATCTGTACAGAGAAACGCGCGAGAAAAATAACGAGGCATCGCGCAAATCGCGCATGAATAAAAAGGCCAAGGAAATGGAAATGGCTCAGCAAGAGGTCGAACTTGAACGTAGAAATCGCTTGTTGAAAGTGAGAGCTGAATATTTGGAAAAACGCGTTTCTAAGTACCGTGAAATATTGTTGTTCGTGGCCCAAACGGGTCCCCAAAACGATCGGCTACTGAAGGCAATAAGAATGAAATAGATATTTTGTCCTATTATAATCAAGCTCAAATCTATAGGTCTACGTCAATGTTGGAAACTAGAAATAGTTTATCTCTCTCTTAGAGCTTGATTTTTTATGTATGGATCAGATGTGTATTGTTCGTTTTTGGTATTGATTTTAAAACGGAACTTTATGCATTTGAACGAGAAATTTTAATGACAAGAGCAGAAGTTGTGCTTCAACTATCTATGTAACGATAAGCTTTGCGATTAATAGCGTAAGATAATTCTGTAGTGCACAGTTTTTTTTATTGAAAGAATCAGGGAGCTTGAAGTTTTTATTTTAAAAAAGCTCCCTATGTAGTTAAGTGTAAGGTAGGACTTAGCATACTCCTGTATGTATGAAGTGGAGAAAGAGTCGTATAATCTTTTTTTTAGCGCTTTATATTGTATATAAGCTATTTCATGCACATGCTTTTCGATTTGAAGATAAATATTGTAGGAGATCTAAGGATCTCTGTAAGAAATAATTGTTAATTGAACATTTTTAGTTTTACGTGAAAATTGCGGTTTTAACCTAAATCCAATTATTGCTGAAATTTAGAATTGATTGATATGATCCTTAGTTTAACCCGCTAAATTTTGTTTATTTATCTGTGCATTATTTATATGTTATAGCGATATTTCGGGTTTTCAAGAATATGTTGATCTATTGATTTTACCGTTTATGCGAATGAAATTTTTCCCATGATCGAACACGCGTTTCAATTTTTAGTATAAAATAACCATACTTTATCAATTACAAAACAATATTTTTCAATCAATCTTTTGATAATAGCTATGACAGCTACCTGTGACTAACAAAATGTATTTTTAGCTCAAATGCGAGCATTTATTTACTCACTTGATTCGAGCTTCTGATATATTTTTTAAACAAAGTTGCTCGAATCTTACATGAATTTAAAATCATTTAAATAATATAATAATGTAAAGCCTGTTTCGGCTAAAAATTCTAAAATCAATTGCTTCATTTTCTTCTAAATTTTACTTATTTTAATTTGACCACATATTTTTTATATTGTAAGTGTGTAATTTTACTCCAGATGTATGCTAATTGGAGTTATAAGTAAACTTTAAAACAATTGTTTATTTCTATAGCTTACAAGCAATGTTATGATCGACACGAAAATCATTCTTTGATTTTATAAGGACTATCAACTTTAAACATCGACTTCAAATAATGTCATGAAATCTGTAACTGGAAAAATTTCCTTAGAAATATAAATGCAAGTCTTTATTTACCCAATGATTAACTGGTATAAAATTCAATTATTAATTAACCACTATACATTAGATTGTGAAGTTTTCTATAGATTAAATTTTGAAAAGTAATTAGATGGTTGTATATAAATTTTCTCATATAATTTGAAATTGAATTTAATGTCGATTGAGTAATTTTTTTTTTAATCAAGAGGCGGAATTCATAATCAATGGTCGATCACTGGGTATAACATTATATTAACGGATCTTGCTAATAAGATCTTCAAAATGAAAATGATAAAAAAATCTTGTACAACTCATCAATTTAAATATTGTTTAATTACTTAATTGAGCACAAAAATATTGTTGCATCTTGGTGCAATGGAACCAGAAAGCTACAATTATACAAAATGAAATCGAACTATGCAAGCTTGATCTTAGTAAACCATAACATGTAAACCACATATGAGATAAAAATATATTTCTTCACGAAAAAGAATTGTCTTAAATTATTTATCTATTAGAAAATCGTTACAATATTAAAAGTCCATGTACATTATCCATCATACTTATCATCATTCGGAGATTTCCATCTTTTGGAATATGGAATTCCATGTCAGTAATTATTGAAACTATTGAGAACACATTTAAATTACAGAGAATTTTCAGTGACGAAAGGAAAGAGGAAAAACATTATTATCCCATCTATAATTACGGGCGAAATTATCCACTCAAAAATATGTCAGTTTGCAATCAACTACAATGAACTAACAAGTTATTCTGAAGGAATCTCTTGTTATCGAGAACTCAGTAACGTTGAATAAACAGTAGTCTTGAAAAGATACCTCAAAAAGCAACTACTTGTTGGAAAATAGAATTCATTCGATTTATTTATATTAAAAAAAAAAGAAGTAAAAATGGGTCAAGCAGAAAGTATGACGTAAGACGCAATTTGTATTCATTCATATTATTTTTTAATTACAATACAAATCGCAGTAAATTTGAGAGTTCATTAAAAAATGTTGGGTTTTAACATATTTTTAACACATTAAATATCAATTTAGTCATGAAAATAAGAGTAATAAATTAGAAATATAATTTTTTTAGTTATAAGAAAACTTATTTCCGAAATTTATTAACAAAATGTTTTTTTATACATATTTCTATAATTACATAAGAGTATATGATACAATAATGATACACAAGAGTATATGATGAAAAATACAGATTTATTAATTCCTCACAAATTAAAGTATTAAAAGATATAATTTTCTTTATTGTGATGCAAATTTACCTTGCTCATTTTATGTAACCATGCCCAACAACAGGTCACTATTTTATTGAAAATGAACGCTGCACTATGTATCAATTATTTTTGTAACGTTTACAGCGAAGTTTCAAGTGTCTATAACGAATCAAACTCAGTTCAATTTACCATCAACGACATTTCTTACGAAGGTAATATTTCCTAGTACAATTGCGTCGTTCCACCTATATACTCGTTTCGATTTTTCAGTGCCCAAATTTTTACCAGTAGATACAAAACTCAATAGTTTTATTCGCGATGTTGCCGAACTTAAAGGTACCAAAGCTATGTGTCTCGAAGGTGGATGCGGATCTTGTATTGTTACTGTATCAATAAAAAATTCTAATATCATCTCAGTGAATTCGTGTCTAATTCCAGTAATAATGTGCGATGGGTAAGGCAGAGACAAAGCGTAAAACCCTTTTTTTTTGTGCTTCATTATATAAAATATTATATATTTAGATGGAAAATAACAACAATAGAGGGTTTAGGAGGTAAAAAAACTGGGTACCATACTTTACAAGCTACTTTAGCCGAAATGAATGGATCACAATGCGGTTTCTGCTCGGCTGGTTGGGTCATGAATATGTACAGGTATTTTGAACAGGTTGCTAATAAAGTCACATACTATTTTTCAATTAAACGAAAACTAAGGTAAATGAACAGTTTAATGCAGAATGGAAAAATAACAATGAAAGAGGTGGAGAATTCATTCGCTGGTAATATTTGTAGATGTACTGGCTACAGGCCAATTTTAGATGCATTTAAAAGTTTCGCCTCCGATGCACCTCCCCAAGCATCGAGACAAATCCAGGATATCGAAGTAAGTATACGAGATATTTTTAAAATATATTTGCCTAAGAAAATGTAAATCTTTCATTATATATTAATTAATTGATCAGGATATGTACAAAGTACATTCTTGTGGTAGTTGTTCTAAAAAACTGTGCAAAGGTAACTGTAAAAATATAGAGATCGTTCATAAATCTAGCTTCGCAAGAACATTGAAACTCACTTTAAACGAGTCAAGAGTTTTTCACAAAGTCCTCGAGGTCAATGAAATATTTAATATTTTTGAAGAACATCCTAATGCGTCGTACATAATAAACGGTGGTAACACGGCACATGGTATGATACTATTGTCTTGATAATCATTTTTAAGACATAGAAAATTAAAATTTTTTTTCACCAATCAGGTGTTTATCGAACTAAAAAAGTCGAAGTTTATATTGATATTAATGATGTTCAAGATTTACATAAAATTGTAAAAGAAGACAAGGTCTTAACTTTAGGAGCAAATGTTACAATTTCCGTGGCCAAATCCACGTTCGAGAAATTCATGTCTGAAAAAGGTTTTTCGTATTTGAAGCAAATGTCTGAACACATTGATTTAGTGGCAACTGTACCAATAAGAAACGTGAGTAAAATAATTATTTATTACAAACCGTCATTGCAAATAATTTTCCAACTGCTCTTTTAACGCTAGATTGGTACTATAGCTGGAAATTTAATAATTAAATCCCAGCACCCAGAATTTCCTTCAGATTTATTTTTAATTTTCGAAACTGCTGGAGCTAAAGTCCATGTGTGTAAGTATAATTAAGAATTTAATTCATTTACTACAACGCAAATTTGTTCTTATTTGACAACAAAAATATTTTTTATTTAGTAAATACACCTGCATCAAAAACCATAATGAGTTTAATGGATTTTTTGCCACTGGAAATGAAAAAAAAACTTATTTACAGCATAGAATTTCCAGCTATGAGTGACGAATATTGTTATAAAACTTATAAGGTAATTATTAGGATTTTATTAACATTGTGGCTGAATGATAAATCAATGATTTACTAAAAAACTTTAAGTAGTTCCTGTAATTTAAAAGGCAATTCGGGTATGTCCTAAAATCATAGGCAGTTCGCGTATTGACGGTAAAATTTGCATATCGTTGAGTTGCATTTTGATTTCGGAACCCATAGATTATTTTAGAATCAAGATTTTTTTTATCAAATCTAAATGAGAGTGAAGAAGAGTTTGATTGCGATGTGTTGGAGGAAATGTACGCCACACTTCTTTCTGCCATATACTTCCAGAGTGAGCGCGAAACGTGCTTCTCTGTTTTTATTGTAAAGATCACGAAAACTGTCATATTCACTAATTTTATTATTTTTACAGATCATGCCGAGAGCTCAAAATTCTCATGCAATCATTAATGCAGGATTTTTATTCAAATTAGACAAAACTGGAAAAATTTTGGAAAAACCGAACATGATATTCGGTGGAGTAAACCCTGACTTTGTCAGTTCTAAAAATCTTTCATTATTTTCTCAGTATTTAAATGAAATTCATACCAAATCTTTGTTTAGTTGCACGCCTTAAAAACTGAAACATTCCTGGTTGGAAAAGATTTGTTCAACAACGGTGATTTGAAAGAAGCTTTAAAAATTCTGTATTCCGAATTGGAACCAGACCATGTGCTTCCAGATCCGAAACCAGAGTATCGTAAACTTTTAGCAACTTGTTTATTTTATAAAGTATTTTTTTATTTTAAACTTTATCATAACACTATTGCGAGTAAAAAGTTTTTCGTAATTCTCTGTTTCAATATTTTCAATAGTTTGTATTGAACTCAAGTCCCAAAGTGAGCTCGAGATTTCAAAGTGGCAGCACAATGCTGTCCCGTGAATTGTCGTCTGGAAAACAAGAGTTCGACACCGATCGTAATACCTGGCCCCTAAACGAGCCAATAACCAAAGTCGAAGCTATACATCAGACTTCAGGCGAAGCAGAGTACTTGAACGATATTGCAATAAAACATGACGAAGTATTTTGCGCTTTTACTCTTGCCGACTCCCTGGGAGAAATTGAAATTATCGATAGCGATGAAGCAATGGTATTTTGAAATTCGTGAAAAACCTAAAACTCTACTAATGTTAAAATACATTTATTACTATATGATTCAGAATATAGATGGGGTTGTTGCGTTTTATTGCGCTAAAGATATTCCCGGAAAGAATGCTTTTTTGATAGGTCAAAATCAGTACACAGTTATTTTCGAAGATGAAGTGGTAAGTTATATTTTACCAAATGATAGTGTCTCAAAATATTAGTACTATTTATTATGATTCAGGTTTTTGCGGAAAAAGAAGTCGTTTATGTAGGTCAACCTTACGGATTAATAGTCGCTGAAACTCAAGCCATAGCTCTTCACGCAGCTAGTTTGGTGAAGATCGTGTACTCGAGTGGTCCGAAGCGAAAACCGATTTTAACCGTTCGTGACGTATTGGATAGAAACGACCAAACACGAATCAATCGTATTAGGCAAATTCCTGCTAAGAAACCTGCCGGTTGATAAAATTTAACTACGAAGTCTAAAGAAAATTGGAATAGTTTCAATTGGTAACGAGTAATTTTATTTCGTAACAGGTGATAACATAAAATACGAAATAAAAGGATCATACGAATGCGGATCACAGTATCACTTTTCAATGGAGACTCAAACTTGCGTGTGTGTACCAGTAGAAGATGGTATGGATATATATTCGTCGACACAATGGATGGATCTGGTACAGTCGAGTGTTGCTAAAGTGTTAAACGTACCGATGAATAGGTAAATCTAATTGCTAAATCATTTTAAAGAGCGACTTAACCCGAGGATTCGATTATAATTATTTAATACAGTTTGAACCTTCGGACTCGACGTTTGGGCGGTTCTTACGGTGCGAAAATCAGCAGAGCTGCCATGACCGCCTGTGCTTGCGCGTTGGCTTGCCACAAGCTAAACCGGCCCGCTCGTTTAGTCATGACCATAGAAGACAACATGCGAGCTGTCGGCAAGCGTACGCCCTGCCTCATGAATTACGATCTCGCCGTCGACGAGAACGGAAAGATTCAGCAAATGGATCTGACGTATTACGGCAATCAAGGCTCGTCTTTCAACGAGACCTACGCGATTTTTTTGACGGGTCATGTCTATAATTGCTATGATCCGTCCACCTGGACGTGGACCATGAACGACGTCAAGACCGATTTGGCGTCCAACACTTGGTGTCGAGCTCCTGGATCCACCGAGGGCACCGCGACGATCGAGCACATAATGGAGAGAATAGCCAGGGTCACGAAAAAAGATCCACTGGAAGTTAGGATGGCAAACATGAACGAGGACGATAAGGCTTCGTTGATACCGATGATCGAGGAGCTTAAGAAAACCTCGAATTACGACGAGCGCCTGTTCAACGTCAATAAATATAACACAGTAATAGTACCTTATTTACTGGGTGGATATGCTTTTTCTGCAAAACGAAGAGATACAGCACGAGCCGAAGGCTAGTTTTCTCCCAAGTTTTGATCAGAGAGCATATTCACGAAACTTGTTTACTAATACATTGTATATTAAAATATTTACGACTTTGTAGATCCTGGCGATTTTTTAAATCTGATTTATTTTTAGGATAATCGATGGAAAAAGAAAGGAATATCTTTAGTCCCGATGAAGTTTCCGTTGCTCGTTTTTGGCCTGCAGCATGCTTTAGTCTCCATTTACGCGAGAGATGGGACTGTTTCAGTATCAACGGCTGGCATCGAAATGGGTCAAGGTCTACACACAAAGGTAATTTTGGCTCGTTAACTCAGTTTTATGAAATTTATAATTATTTTATTTTCTTAGCTTGCACAAATAGCAGCTTATACTTTGGGAATCGATATGAAAATGGTCAGTGTAAAACCGAGCATCAATTGGACCTCTCCAAACAGCTATCTAACCGGCAGCAGCATCACAAGTGATACTGCTGGATACGTAAGTGTAATTAATAATTGTGACTTAGATCAGAATTCATTCGATTGCATTGAAATCTTCTATTTTTCAGGCAACCTTAAGAGCCTGTAAAATTTTATTGGAGAGATTAAAACCTATCAAGGATATGCTCGGTGGCAACCCGTCATGGCAAGAATTGGTAATGACGGCTCACCATAAAAGTGTCGATATGTGTGCTTCTTTTATGTAAGTCTTTTTCCAATACATATAGTCATGCTTACTATCCCTTAGGGAATTTCGAATCAAACCTTAATCTCGCTATATTTAATTCTCATATAGGTTTAACGGTAATCAAGATGAAGTGAAAACTTATCCAGTATACGGAGTGGCAGTATCAGAAGTTGAAATAGACGTGCTTACTGGACAGCATCTCATACACCGAGTCGATATTTTGGCAGATTCAGGCACAAGTTTGAATCCCAAGGTTGACATCGGTCAAGTAGAAGGTGGATTTGTGATGGGCATAGGATATTGGACCAGCGAAGAACTGATATATGATCCAAACACAGGCGCCTTGACTAATTACAGGACATGGGTGTGCACTGTATTAAATTGTATTTTTATCAAGCAAATCATGACTTTAAAAAAACATGTTTTTTCAGAACTACAAAGTTCCTGGAGCCAAAGATATACCAGTAGATTTTCGAGTTTCGTTGCGTCGCAATGCGCCGAATCCCTTGGGCGTTTTGGGATCCAAAAGTAATAATCGAATTGAACTAATTATTTTTTAAGTACTTTAGTATTTATAATAATTTTGCAGCTACCGGAGAACCTCCAATGTGTTTGAGTTGCTCTATACCAATTGCCATACGTCAAGCAATAAATTCAGCTCGATTGGATGCTGGCAACACTGATATTTGGTATCAACTTGGTAAGAAATTAAGAACTGACTCAATATTATATATTCAACAATTGAATTTATCTAAATATGTTTTCAGATAATGGATTAACCACTGAAAAAATATTTATGAGTTGTATGACAAATGTTCAACATTTAGAATTATAAGAATGATTATTATTATAAGTAAATAAATAAATTACTTATTTCAAATGAAAATATGATTTTCGCTTCTTAGAGAAACCTCTAGTAAAATAAAATTGTTTTTGTAACCAGAGATCTAAATCAGCTAATAGTTTCGATCGGTTCCAATCGCCGGTTATTTTCAAAAGCTTAACGAGTTTCTGAATTTTTCAGGCAATAGTCATAATAAATGATATATTTTAGGCATACGTAGCATTGTCTACAACTCACTCTAGGGATTTTTGTGAATTATTACATTGAAGATGCTATTTTTCAATCGACATAAACAATAATTAGAACCTAAGATACACTACATGGCGCATGTCCTAATTCTCAGAAATCAAAAGAAGAACAACAAAGTTCTAGAAACATATAAGAGTACAAATATTGAGTCTACTATATGCAAATTTTCGCGAAATTTTTAGCGCATCACGAAAGGACGTTTTTGAGCAACATTTCTCAATTATAAACTCGAATGGCCAAAAAATTTTAATATAAAAACATTAAAAACTAATTGTTTATGATACTATAAAAGTCTCCAAATCTTATTGAAATTATTGCGACCATGTATCACCTTTCTCCAGATGCCCCAAGTTGGCGTTGTATTATATTGTCTATTTCTGCATGCAAAAGCCTTTAGAGACTAATTACTTATTGCAAAATTAAATGGCTTATTGAAAAATGAACATGATTTTCTTTCGACTCAAATTGAAAGAATAAAATATTTCAAAAAATGAAGATGTATAGGTATTTTTATTTTCAGCGCCTAAACGTTCATTTTTTTATAACCGCGGAAACTCGTGAACAAGTAATAGAGAGTATACAATCTTCAATAACCTATAATTTATAATAAAAATCTGGCTGTGGCTTTAAACGAGACTCATTTCCGACAAACATAAATCTACTACTAAAAATGGTTTCTGATATCGGTGAAGTTCAAATAAATAAAAAAATATGTGTCACGAAGGCTGCCGGAGACATGATGACCCATCATGAACAACATTTACCTGAAAACGTTGAATTTGACCCAAAGTTTGAAAAAGAGTTAAAGGAGGAAAAAGATTTAGAGAATTTCGGCAGTGGAGAAATAAATCAAACATTCTCCAAAACACCTTTCAATGAAACGTTCAAGAGCGATGAAGATTCTGATGACCCGAATATGAGCACGCGCAATAATGCAAACATATCGGATATCCGCGGAACTCTTCAATGGGTCGCAAACAATTGTGGATTAGAAAAAGGTATTGGATACATAAACTGCATGTGAAGCAACCATTTGATCGTCTGACAAAATTATCATTTTTTTCAGAATGTACGGTGTTGGAAAAATCTCGTGTTTTTGATAAAAGCGACAGCGAAGATTCTTTGATTTTGCGCATGAGAAATTATTTAGCTGAGTTTCAAGAACTGCGAGGTACATCACCGAAGGAATATACGTTTTCCAGCTTGATCAAGGTTATCGGTCACGCCACAAGTCGGTGTCTATTCGCTCTGTTTTACGTTATTTTGAATATTTTGCCGGTCTTGGAGGTAATGCTATTGTTTTTCATGTTTTGATTTGACTAACTATCGGAATTTTCTTTTATTTCAATGTTGCAGATCCTACTCCACGTTTTGAGATTTGTGGTCGACAAAGTTATCGACATAAAGGGCACCAACGATGCGCAACAGATTATAATTAAAGTCACGATATTCTTCATCCAGTTATTGTGCATATACGTGTGCCTCATGTTTATTTTTGGTTTCATCGTTATGCCTATCATACGCATGGGTTTAAGTATCATATCGAAATTTATTTTTTACAATTGATTAACATTAACTCATAATTGCGTTTGTTTTTCTTCGTTCGCAAAATAAATTATTTCAACATCGTTCACTGTTTATGAAAATTAAGATTTTTATTTGTTTCTTTTTTTTATTACATACTGATTCACTTAACTAAAATTTGATTTTTGAATTATCTTTAATCTTTAAATTACAAACTATTGCTATCGTTTATAAATACTTTTGATAGTTTTAAATAATTTATTTACTTTACAGTCTGCAGAGTTCAAGATAAATTATCTTCTTAAGCAATGTAAGAGGTCATTAATTTTCTAAAGATATCAACATGTACCGCTAATAGTATAATTTCCATTAAAATCATTTTATTACTTGATATTTCAATATTATTTAAATTCGTGTAAGTATTTATATTAAACGTAATTTATTTTTATAAAAGTGCATAATTATGTTAACGCTTTCATTACATTACTCTTAATTTCACATTACGATGACGAATGAAAAACTATTGTAATTATTTCCCGTGTTTTTTTCGAACGATTAACTTTAGGCAACGTAAGAAAACGTTGGTCTTTGAAAAAAGTGATTTTCCCCCCCATTAAATTGTACGGTAAGTATCATCGTTATTGGCGAGTTAATCGTCGTAAATGAATGTTATATACTTTATAGATACACGCTATAGACAAATATATATATACGAAGACATCAAGCTCTCACCTGATGCATGCTCCCTTGATCTTCGGAAGAGCATATTTTATTGAAATGATGGAGTGATTGATAACATACGCTGCTTATAAAAAATATTTTAGCTCAACGTTCATTATGCATCCAATATTTTTTTTGAAAATATTTCTTTTATCGGTATTATATCGATCATTATTTTTTCTTGAATCAAACTTTTTCTCACACGAATCGTGAAATGTTCGTGAATCATGTATTTTTAACTCATTCATGCGATACTCTAATGCATTTTGTTTAACATCAAAAGCACCTATCATTCGCGGCTATCTCGCTTTCCCAATAGTGCTAGAGACGATCTCAAAGTTTTGAGCGAGCTCAAGCTCGATTTGATATGTGAATTTCTGGCTTTCAAAGGCACACAAAGCTTCGAATGTTAATATTACTCTCATGCCTAGTTTTATTATTAACTACAATTATTATAATATCGATTTTCAGTCATGTACATACTTGTGGTCTTCCAGTTTTTTGCTTATGTACGCAAGAATTTAAAAAAAAGGCAACCTCCGAGTTTGAATATTAAAGGCACTTCCTTATAAACACAAATATTTCCAACAACTTTGTAATAAGTTTCATTGTGTGTCAATTATTTTTTTTTTAAATATAATGAGAACTAAAAATGTAAGCCAGAAAAGGCTTGAAGGGTATTGTTTGGGTACAGTTTAATCGTTACTTTCAGATATGATAACTGAAAATTCTCGTGAATATAAATAATCATGAATTTACAATGCTGAAATGAAATGTCAAGAATGGTACGGTGAACCGTCAAGAATTAAAAATAATAAAAATTAATTATGAACTATCATTAATCATACGTAACGCTTGGCGTTCGAATAATCTTCCTTTAAACATAATCGATTCATTTAAGTTTTTAGACGGTTACACCTTAGAGCTGTAAACTCGTCCGATTTCAGTTGTGAAAGTGAAAATGTCTCTCGCTAACAAGCATCGTTTATCCTCAAAATGCGATCGCAAAGGCGAGAACGAAAATAGCGATTCCCAGGAAGTTCGATAGGAATATTTGGTTCGCCGATGACCAGCCGCACTCGAGGTCGGATTTCAGCGATTCGGCCACGGACATGTTGTTCTTGTTGACGCAGAAGCTCTCGCGCAGATCGTCGTCCCAGCCGTTGTCCCAGCACTCGTATTCGTTGCCCTCCTCTCGCTCGTAATTGTTCAGCTCTGTGTGTGTGTTGCAACGGTCCTCCTGATATTGTCGGTGCTTCCTCTGCCACATCTCGATCCACCTGTGCGAGCGTCACATTTTGTGAGTTAATTTAAAGTAAAAAAATAATAACGAAATTCTAGTAGCGCAATTGAATAATATTTTGTACAGCACGTACCCTATGTCGCAATCACAACTGATGTGGCTGCCGCGCATTCGCAGTCTCAGCAGAAAACGCTTGCCCGGCACGGCTGGCTTGTAAGCGTTCGAGGGATTTTGCAGAGTTCGGATCTCGTTGTGCCAGAGCTCCACCGTCACGTTCCTCGCGAGTTCCGCGTGAGCAAATATTTCCTTCTGGACGGTGCTCACGCTCGTGTTGTACAGTCCAAAGTGCAGATGAGGATTTCTCATTCCCTGCGAAATAGACGAAACGTAGCAAAAAAAAATTGTGAATCACGTTGTTACTCGATGTGCGCGACCTATTTAGATCGCATTGACCTCCGTGACGAGCTTGCGTTTCTCAAAGATGTATCAACTTACGTGCAAGACATCCGAGTGAATACGTTTTAGCGCTCGGCCGCTGAATGTAAAATTATACAATTTCACGGGGTAGTGGCCTTTCATCTCCTTTTCCAGTTCCGTTTCGTTTTGAACCTGAAAAACAATGAGCCGAGATTTGAAAAAAAAATTATACCAATGAATGACGAATTAAAAGCTTATATTCGATTTACGTGAATGAACAGGTGTCTCAATCCATGATTATGCTCCAAAATAGTGGGAAAATTGAAGTTCCTGACTCCCGCGTAGGCAGTGCTCAGCAGAGTTCGAAGTTTCGACGCCTTGCACAGAGCTCCAGCCTGACCATAAAACCATACACATAATGGTAAAATGCATTGTTACAAAATGCGCACCGAAGAAAAAAATGCAACGATCTCAAACCTCGAACATGGAGAGCGAGAGGCCGCGTATGTCTAGCAGCTCGAGACTGTCCGCAATTCCCAGGAAGCTCGTGTTCGTGATCATCGTAATAGGATTGTAAGCGATGTTGAACATTCGCAAGTTTGGTAAAGCATGAGTTATAAGTGGGACAACGGTCAAGTCGTTGTGGCTGAGATCGAGCAAGTGAAGGCTCGTCAAGTTCGACGCCATCTCGGCCGGAACCGACGCCAGCTCGTTGTGTGCCAGGTGAAGCCTTTGTAGTCGATGGAATGGAAGCTCCGGTACCTAAGCAAAGCGGGCAAAGAGAGAAATAACGGGAAATATAGATTTGACCTATTCTCTCGTCCCACCACCACCAACACCAGCCATCGCGTTTTGTCGAGCGATCGCGACTGCAAAAATTATTTACGCTGGCGCGGATATTTAGAGCTTGCGCGTTTTTAAAAACGCAGCTTGCGCGGCTGCTGCTGGATTCATATCGATTCGTTTTCTTGAGTATAAAAATTTTATTTTTTTTGCAGACTTACCGACAATAGGGAAATGTTGCTGAGTCCGAGGAACAGAAGCGACTCCTCCAGACCGTAGAAAGTCCTTCCTCTTGGTTCGAGAATAAGCTGTTTGTTGTGGCTGAGATCCAAATACGACAGCTGAGAGAGATCGGAGAAGACGCCATCGTCGAGTCTGACCAGTCGATTGTACGACAAATCGAGCCAAGTTAAACCCTACAAGTTTACAATAACGTAGTAAAGAAAAAATCGAGTCCACAATCATCGAAAAGAAATGCAAAAGCTATTTTTTTAGCAAAATTTTGCATAACGAAGTCTCGAACGATAGCGAAAGCGAGATTAAAATTCATTTAGGTCGTGATTCCGTCTGAGCGTAAAATTCGTAACCAATATTTTTGTTTGTTGTAAGAGACATCGAATACACGTGTTGCAAATTTACCGAGGTCAATTAGCTTATCGCATTACTGGGATGTCCGACGTCCGTTGAATCCAACGAAGCGAAAATTCACTCGGAACTATATTCAACCTATAGTCTAATTAGCGACTAATCAGATTCCAAACCGCGTGCATATATACACACACATTGCTAGTCTAGCACACAACAGAGAAAGAAAAAAACTAAATCGGGGTTTACTTAAAAAGAGAGAAAAAAAATCTGCCTGTAATGTGTGTCAGTAATGCGCGCGATAGCGGCAGCGGCTCGCTCTATCTCTCGCGGATATATGCAAATGCGAGAGAGTATATAGCTGGATTTGCACTTGACTTACGCGTAATCTGAAGATGGCGTCGTTGTTGTGTACCCCGGACAGGAAGTTCCAGGAGAGGTCGAGTATCGAGAGGCTCGCCGCCGCCGACAGCGACATCGGATTGATGGGCAGCCTCATGAACTGATTGTGGGACAGATCGAGGCTCTCGATGTAGGCCTCCATGAAGAGATTGTCGGCGAGCGAGCGTAGCCGATTGTGCGACAGGTCGACGATGCGCAGCTTCTTCAGGTTCCTGAACGACTCCGCGGGTATGTCCATGATGTTGTTGTGAGAGAACTTGAGCACCTGGATGTTCTTGGTCTCCTTGAAGCAGTCGAAGTCGATCTCCATCAGATCGTTCCAGCTGAGATCGAGCCACTGCAGGTGGGGCATGTTGCCGAACACGGCCTGGGTGACGTTGTTGATCTCGTTGTGCGACAGATGCAGGTGCGTCAGCGAGTACTCCACGGGCTTGAAGTAGTAGCGCGTGATTTCCGTGATGTTGTTGTAGCTCAGATCCAGCACTTTGATGTTGGATTGCGTCATTCCGCCCACTGGAAAGTGTCCCAAATCTTAACCAAGACATCGTCGAGATTCGTTCGATCTATATACTCACTGCTACTTGAAGACGACGAGGTTGAGTACGACTGATTGGACGACAATCGGTGGATTTCGTTGTGACTGGCGTTCACCCGGAACGACGACAATGTTCCAACTTGGTCGAAGGCAGCAAAGTCGAATTCGCTGAGATCGTTGTAAGCCAAATCCAAGAACTCCAAGTCCGGCAAATTCTGTCAGAGGAAAAATACGTCATTATTTTGGCATTCGATATAGCTATACATTTATAATTCATACCTGGAAGGCCTCGTCGTGGAGGGTTTGAATTTTATTTCCTCGCAAATTGATGAATTTCAAACGGTTCATGTTCATGAAAGCTCTCCTCTCGATGTTCGTTATGAGATTGTCTTCCAAATCGATGGTTTGTAGCATCGGTAAATCCACAAACGTGTGGGTGCCCAGAGTTTTGATGTGGTTATAACTGAAGTCAATACTTTCCAACGTCGAATGAATGTCTCCCTGAAATCAAGGCAGTAGTTTAATAAAAACTCACATTTAACATTATTTCGATCTTACCTGGAAGGTTCCTTTTTGAATCGCGTCGATTTCATTGTCTTGCAACTCTATTCGTTTGATTCTTTTCAGAAAATGGAACGAATTGTCGGGCATCGATCTCAGTTTATTGTTGCTGAAATCCAAGTGTTGGAGATTCGTCAAAGTTTTGAGAGGAGCATTTGGCAATTCCTTCATTGAAGAAGAAAATCCATGCGCGATTCTAAGCGTTATCAGCGAATTGCCAACCTTTGAAAAAAAAGAAATGTGCTTAGGTACTTTGATTGTTTGGATTTGAAAGTCAAAATTGATAATTTACCTCGAGGAAGGCGTCGTTCTCGATGCTCGAAATGGAATTTTCCGAAAAGTCCAAGTACTTGATACCGCGTACGTGCATGAAGGCGTGATTTTTAATGGTCTGCAAGTTGCTCTGGACAATGTGAAGCTCCTTTATGTCCATGCCGAATTCGGCGAAATCGTCCTGCGACAGCGTCGAGCCGGGCATCTTGGAGATCGACAGGAAGCGCAAATTTCGCATGTGCCTCAAGTCCTGCAAGGCAATCATGCCGTTCTTGCGGCCGCTGAGATCGAGATTATACATGGAGTACTGAAAGCCATTGAAAGCTTGGCCTGCGTGAGAAAAATTAAACACTGATCTTTTTTTCAGTAAGTCTGTAAATCAGGCTCCGGTCAAAAGTATACGAAAAATTCGTATTTTCGTTCCAGTAAACAGTTCATTTTGGCACAATTTTGACTGGAGCCCTCCAACCATGCATTATACTACAAAGTAGCGTTAAAAAATTTTACTTGGATTGAACGTGTCGATGTGATTTTCACGATAAATCAAGGTGCGCAGATAGTCGAACTCTTGGAAGACCAAATTCGGAATGAAGGTCAAATTGTTGCCCGACAAATCCAACAGCTCCAAGGACGATTCCAAACCCATCAAGTCCGGTGAATCGATCTCGTACAAGTCGCAGTCAGTGAAGTACAGCTCCTTGATCCTCGAGTCTTTGAATGCCCCTTGCTTGAATCGTCCATGTGAAAATTAAAATTCACCCTCCAGACAAAAACCACGTTGTCTTACCTCGATGATCTGAATAGGGTTGCCATTGAGATAAGTCCGGTTGACTTTGAAGAAGTGCTGGAACGAGCCAGGCGGCAGCTGGTCGATCTGATTGTAGTCGAGCCTCAGCACGTCCAGCGACATCTGCACTCCCCTTATCTCGGCGTCCAGCTGCGGATGAATCATCCTCGAGATCCGATTGTAGCTCAGATCCAGAACTCGCATGCGCTTCAGCGACGACAGCTGCGAGTAGGGTATGCGATTGAGCTGATTATCGTTGAGGTAGAGCTGCATCAGGTGGGCCATGCCGTCGCGAAAAACCGACGGGTCGATCTCCTTCAGACTGTTCGCCCTCAAATCGAGATACTCGAGATAGGTGAGGCCGGCGAAAGCGTCGGCCGGCAGTTTGTCGATGGAGTTTCGGCCCATCTTCAGGATCTGCAGCGAATTCTCCAGACCGCGCCAATTATCCGCGGCGATGTGAGAGATTTGATTGCCTGGAATCATAGTGCATGATATCAACGAAGGTCAACAAATTTTTTTTAAATCCAATAAAAATTTTCACCACCGAAAAAAGAATGACGCGCGAGGTGTGAAATGCTCGCGAGTAGCTAAAAGGAAAATCGCTCATTATGCCAACGTACGTAGACACGTAATATATACGTATAGACACATTTACGTAACACGTAAGATGCTTAGCTTGCATTATTACATCTTTAAGAGCGCAAAACAGAAGCTCATTTCCTTGAAGGGACAATGACACGCATTATAAGATTGAAAGACAACGACTCTCGGCGCGACCGACTGACATATACATACGTATAGGTATATATCTCGAGTGAGCGGCGCAGATGGAGAATAAAAAATTACACATGAATAATGGATAATAAATACCTGTTAGATCGAGAAGCCGCAGCTTCTGCAAGTGCCTGAATGATTTGCTGGGCACTCTCACAAGACGGTTATAGGGTAGTTCAAGCTCCCACAACGATCTTTCAAGCCCTAGGAAGGCCTCGTCCGGTATATCCGATAGGGGATTATGCTTGATCTGCAGCTTGTACAGACCTGGGACATAAAAAAGTACATTGTGTCGTGTCTCTTTCTCGCCAACTCATTGAATTTTTTATGCAATTTTCATTCGTTCATTACGCCGCGGTCAGTTTTCATTTCTCGCAAAACTGTGACAATGTTTCCACCCCGAGTTGAGAATGATATCGATCATCGATCGATGCTACAAATTTCGGCTTTAAAAATTATTTTAACGCAAATTTATTACGTGCAAGCGCGTGAGTTCATTGGAATGGCTTTTTTAAATGTTTCGTGAAAGTATACTGCAGTAGACGCACAGGAGTCAACACCTTCATTGTTTTGATACCTCGGACCCTTGAGAAGTATTGATCCGCTCGCATAATAGCAAGGTATCAAATTTCGACTTTAACCCTTTCGAATTCTCCTGTATAGACTCGATGTGCTTGTGCAAGAAAAAAAAGATAGACTATATATAGCTCGTATGAAGGGGGAAAATTGATTAATTAATTAGTTGTCTTTTTTTTTTTAACAATTAGAATTGGTTATTCTTTTTCCCCTCTTGCCTGGTACTTATCAAAAATGATTATTGCTTATGATTACTCATCGCTTTGCTTGATTAGTGTTGCTGCTCAGAGCGCGCGCGCATTTAAAGCAAGTAAGGCTTTGGCATTCTCAAATGGACATTTATGAATTCCGGCCTTGCTTAATGAATAATTAACCCTTAACCAGATCCTCTGAACAATCGTATTATATCCGTCCATTCAAATTATATTACTCGAGGCATCCGAATGTATTATATGTATTTTTTTTCATTAGTCATACACATGCAAAAACGCGCAGCACATAACAAGAAACGAAATTAGAAAAGGTACTCACCGGTATTTATGAGAAATTGGGGCTGTATCGAGCGCAGCCCGTTGTTCTCCAGCTGGAGCATGAATACCTTGGAGGCGTTGATGGGATGCGGTATCCTCGGCATGGGCACGTTGAAGCAGGTGACGATGCCGAGGTCCGGTATGACTTTGGAGCACGTGCACAGAGGATTGAAGAAGCAGGGCGGATACTGGACCGGCAACTCGTGCATACGCGCCATCGACGTCCAGATCATCAGGATCAGCGTCGCGAGCAGCATGATGTAACCGACTTTCACGAACGTCAGCAAGTTCTGGAATTAATTTTAAACGATGCAACCGGTGCAAAATGCTCTTTTTTTATAATCACTCTAAACAAAGCACACACGATTTAACGAAATATTATATTTTGTAAAAAGTAGTAAGAAAAAAATTTAACGCAGCTTGGTTTTGTAGAGCGTAGATCACTTTAGCACTGCATAATATTTATAAAACTTGACGAAAATATGCGTTAAATCAGCTTGAACCAGATAAAACCATAGAAGTACGGAAGCGTAACGTGCCGATGCGCGCGAGCTGGCCGCTGCGGTTCATATTATAGCATAAACTTATTTTTTTTAATATTAGGCACACGGGACAAAAATTGTTGTAAATAAACCACCGTTAGCACAATAGTGAAAGGATAAACCGAATATGGACGCGGAAACGAAAAAGTCGTCAAAAAAAAAGCTCGTGCACAATCACACACTCGCGACAAAAGTGCATTCAAATATTTTAGATAAAAAAACTTGGTCTCAATGTACCATGATGACGTCGTCGACAGGGTGGACAATCGCGTAGAACTAATTCATATGCGCTCCTTTCCGATAACTAAAAAAAAAGAAAAAAAAACGAAACGTCGCTCTCGTCGCGCTGTCGTTGCACACTGCAGGGCCAATGAAGAGGAGCGCGCGCTCGGCGCGTCGTACTTAAAGTCTATTGGGCGACTGGCGCGCAGGGACTGCAGCCGCGCTCGCTCGCCTCTCTTGTACTCCGTACTACGAGACTGCACTGCACGGAGGTAAGGCATACAGAGGCGAGCTTTAAGGCACGATGGCCCCTGCACTTGGCTGGTGCGTGCGGTGCATCTATACAGTGGTAGTAGTAGTAGTAGTAGTAGTAGTAGTAGTGGGAGCTATGTGTCGCGACGACGGCTGCACTTTTTAGCGCGAACGACTGCTACTACTATACCAGCTAGCGCTGCTGCTGCGTAAACGTGCCCCGCTCTCGAAAACTACCCTGCTATGGCTTCCGAGCCGATATATACGCGCGCAGTGACATTTACAGTGCTTCTTTTTACCCGATTATGCGGCCCCCGAGCTAGCGAGCGAGCGAGCGAGCCCCAGCCCCGGCTCCGCTGCAGGTAGGCCTCCTCGCCGTCGCACCTCCCCGCGCCGATACGTACGTATACGTACGTGCTACGAGACTCCTCTGCCGCTACCGCTGCTGCTGCAGCATATGTACTCGCGCTCTCTGTACTTACTACGTTTGCCCGATAGTCCATTAGGTCGCGGATGAGTAATAGTTAAGCGCGAAATATCGTATACACATACTTCCTTATATAGGTATATAGGCTCTCGCGATACTTACATGTGTAGATACATCGTGCATATCGTTATACACTGCCGTGTGTAAATGTACGCCGCGGCCGACCGATGCTGCGCGCAAACGTTTGCTCTCGTTTTTCACCCCCTCGAGTCGCGCACATTACTTACGTGTACGTGCCCGGCCGATCGTGTACAGAGCGCGCGACTCTCCGCGCCGCCCTGCATTTCTAGGTTTATGGGGTAAAGTCGAACTTATCGTACTTGCGCGCGAGCGCGATGCATAATGCGACGTAATTATTCTTCCCTTATTTTCTCTCTTCTTCGCTTTTTTATGCTCTTTATTTTTCAGCTCCAGCTGTTGTTGTTGCGGGACGAAATTTATGTATAGCGAGCCTGGAAAGCTCTGATCGGGTTTCATCGAAACCACTTCCGCATCCTTGTTATTTCCGTGTGGCTAATTTTTCGTCCACTTTGGAGAGCGTGTCCACCTTCAATTTACGCATAACGTGCACTCGAGCTTGTGATATTCAAGTGCCCGGCGTGTATGCGATAATGAGATTTTCGACTTCGATAAGAATTAATTGATACTCGAGACATGGAATTTATTTAAAAACCAAGTGGGCGATTTTATATCGTTATCGCATTTGTCAAATATGTGTTATTAATATACATTGGTCGATGCTCATCGCGATAAGATATTTATAAAACTTGAGATTAAGACTCGGAAGGATAATGCGGGGATAGGGATTTTGCAGCTCAAGACAAAGTCAAATCATGTTGAATAAGATATATATTTGCAATAAAATTTGTTTTTCTCATACAAAATTTGTTAACGCTATTATAAAAAATTTTTATCACACGAAGACGAGTCCTCTTTATGCAATCAATACACTTATATGTTTGTGAAATGCGCCACATACTATCGGTAATAAAAATCATGGCTAAACACTTTAAACACAACATCTTTTGAGGTATAAAAAAAAACAATGAAAGACTTAATGTATATTGCCAACAGCAAAAGCTAACAACGGTAAGAAGTTTTTTTATTATATAGCATTTTGTATTGTCTACTCGTAGCGTTCACGTACGAGTTCATTGATACGTAACATATTTAGTGATGATGTATAGATATGATATATGTACAAGATTGATCGTAGAATAAACTTTTTTAATACTTTCGACAACAAAAATAATTTTTGATTTTCTTTCCTTTTTCCAAGCAAACATCGATTCGAGCTGTACAAAACTGGAATGAGCAATGCCACTTTTACATCACTCGCAATTAGTCACTCTACGCGAGCTTAATTACTTTAGTGAAAATTTTTAATCGTTGACGATAAACAAAATAATATCAATTTAGAGATCACCATAATAAATGATACAATTTTTTTCAAAAACAAAAATTCCTATGTCGCACTTTCAGAAACTGTTTCATTCAACAGTTCACAAACAACATTAAAGTTAAGACTTATTTATTAGAAAAATAAATTTTTTTTGCAGTTTCAATTTTCACTTGTCCTCCTTTAAATTATTAATACTTTGCATCAGTTCTAGGATGACTGCCTCATCCGGATGCTTTTTACATATAAAATATAAAACTTGATTGCCTTAATTTTTTCATTCAAATATATTTGAAGTATCGTGTAAAAATATACAAAATTATCTACCGGCATAAAAAATTAAATTTCAAACATTTATCGAAGGATAAAATATAACAACTTTGTAAAAAGGTTTTTCATTAAAAGAAAGATGGTGCGAATCTCTTTTCCACGCCAACTGATAAGGAGATTCATTTGAGCGCAATGTGCAGACGTTTGAGTAATCACGTACACAGCAGCGTCTCGTCGCGCATGGATTGATACTTTTTTTTGCGCCACTCTCAAAATTTGTTCTCCCCGTAAAAAATTTCGTATTAAAAATCAAGTATTATACTTATTTTGTTGAAGCGATAAACCCGCTGTAATGCGCAGCGCCTATGTATATTTATACATTGGAGTCGTCAAGCAGCAGCAAGCAGCACACGATTGTTCCCTCGTTTTCTTTTCCTTTCTCCCGTTCTCGTTCTCTCCTTCTCGTGTGTGTATTTATTTTTGTTCTTTTCTCTCTCTCTCTTTTTTCTTTTCTTTTTTTTCTCTCCCAAACGCTCTATACTACGATCGCGCGTGGAAGAACACACGCTTATTTGCCTTTGTGCACGTGTCCGTGATGATGATTGTGATGATGATCGCGGTGGTTAACAACAGCAGATCTCCCATTCCTGCTGGACGAGCTGCTGCTGGGTCTTTCCGGCTTCATTTTTGAGCCACCACCGAGTTCGCGCGTCCTTGGGACCAGAGGCAAAACAAGGACTGCCGAAAGCCCAAATACATGCGGCGCGAGATACATATTCCTGTAAAAACATCAAGAAAAATACCAGGCTTAATAACATTTTTCCTTTCATGAAAAATAAACGTTAAATTTTTATTGACCGGAAATGAGGATTCGATGTTTTTATTTATTTATTTTTTTTTCTTATGAAATCGAAGGTAGAGATTTTTACCTCAAATTTCAAGAAAGAATCGATTGCTTTTATGGAAAATTTTAATCGCTCAATTTTATATTTATCGACAAACGACGTAAATCGCATTAATTTGACCAAAAAAACCCAAGAAATAAAACTTTTGTTCAATTGCTCGATCGCGTTTCGGATAAAAACCCGTAAAAAGGAGATTCACGTGCTTCCAATTCCGATATTGTAGGCGAAAATAAAGAGCTGTTGCTCGTAGTGCATCCGATGCGTGACTGATGCGCCACACACACACACTATTATCTCACTTCAAGGATACTTCGGAGACCTACTGCTGCCGCTGCTGCACGCGCGCATTTCGTGCATACGCGCCGCAAGCGAGCAGCGAATTAAAAAAGAAAAAAAAGGAGCTATGCAACATCGCGGATTATACACGCGCGCGCCGATGTAGATACAGTTTCTCTATACATAAAAGGTGTGTGCACACACATGCGTTATATGTACAACGTCGCTATCTCTCTCTCTCTTTCTGCGTGTGTACGTGCTACGCAGTGAGTAGGCTCGTTCCCCACCCTCGACTGTCGCGGCGCGCCGTCAATGCCGGCTGTCTTTTGCGCTGTGTGTTGTGTGTTGTTGTTTTTTTTCTGTCGTCGCGACTCGCGCGCATAATGCAATTGCAATGAAAATAATACGGGTCACTTATGTTTTCATCAAATAGATGTCACTGATCGTCGCCCCGCCTCTGTCGCTGTTTATGTGCAGCTCGTACACACATACACACGAGCAGCGATTGGATGCGCGCGACGCGCGGCGCGATGCAATTATAATTTTAATCTATATAATATCAACACAGTTATCGCCACCGCTGCCGGCGGCTTTCTCTCGGCCGACTACTAGATTGGCTACGTGCCAGTAAACACGCGCGTGCACGTGGATTTGCATAATTGATGCACGCGAGAGCTTACGTGAGAACAACGAAGCAAGCTCGAAAAAGCTCCGACTTGACGAAGGAAACACGAAAACAGGACGCGCGCGCAAACACTTGCACACCAGCAAAAAGATGGATGCGTTTCCGGGAGTAAACGGCAAAATTATGTAATTCGTTTTTCTCTGGATGCATTTTGCAACTCATTTTTACTGACCTTTTGACTAGATTTATTAACACAGCTTTTTTGATTGTTCTTTTGAGCACCCGCGTTTAATCGAAAGTAGCTTCGAAATCGCAAAATGCGCTTCAAGTCGCACAGCACTGAATATTTTGACAGCTGAAGATTCAGCGATTAAAGTTCTTTGCAGGTACAGAGTAACTCGCGAAACGCGTAGATTACAGGAAAAACTGACTTTTTCAACGAAGCTCTGCACATATTTCGACAAAATCAGCGACAATATGTTGTTAAAGTTATTTTATTATTTCGCCATTGATTGCTCTAGGCTAGTTGCAAGAAAGCGCTATATGTGCAAGACCACCGCTCACTATTAGGTTACTGACTCGCACGCTCGGGGATCGGAGATTATTATATTTCGAAGCGGCATCTGGTGTGCGGCAACTCCACTGCTTCCCGGCCTCACATGCACCGAGTAGAAGGAGAGACAACGCACCACCACGGCCGCCGCCGTCGTCGTCGTCGCCGTCGTTGTTGGACGAGAAAAACGTGTGGCAATCGCGGCGACTGGTGTACACGCGAAAAATCACGCGTATTACAACGCATGTACAGTATCTCGGCCCCTCACTCTCTCATCTCCCTCTACTGACTCGGCGGATCGGCTGACTTCGAAATGCGATCAAATTATAATTGTTGAAATCGAAAATGTCCGAAAATCGATCCGTCGCTCAATAACAAGGAAGCGGAAAGCTCGAACGATACATTTCTGCATTCATTCTCGAGTTTTTATCTCTCCATGGATAAAAACAATGTCGATAAACAATCGTTTTAGCTATCATAGTAAACACTCGAGTTTTACTTTCTAGGCGTTGCAATACAAAAGTAAAACGATATTGCTCCGATCACGGAATGATGTTGGTAGGATATACTTACAGGTACAATGTGATGCTTGGTGCGAACTCGAGCAGTATGAAGCTGAACGTGATATACGCCAGCACGAGTCTAGTCGTTACCAAGGTAAGAATGTCATAAAATACTTTTTTACTCTTGGAGGAAACGAAGTAAGGTCTAATGTGTCGGCGCACCTGTAAAAAGACAGAGAGAAAAAAATTAATCCCAAAAGGTGTTGAATGACTCTTTCGAGAGAGAGAGAGAGGAGCGAGGCCAACCCATGGTAAGTGGGAGCTACATTAAATATCTTACGGTTCTAGCGACGAAGGTAAAGAAGGCACCGCTCGCGAACGTCAGATAGTAGCCTGGATAAAATCCATGCCAAACAGCTGAAAGGCCATAGGTGAGTACCGTTCGGTACTTGGTAACTCTGTCGTAAACTATCATCCTTAACCAACGATTTGTGCCCTTGTTCCAGGCTTCGATGCTGTCGTGCAGGCTCAGGGCGGTCTGGAAAAAAAAATAAAAAATCATTGTAAAATGGGTTTTTGGACGATTTAAATGATAATCGAAGTATAAATGATAACCGAAGACAGTTTACATTTGGTTTCGAGTGCAAAACAAAGCGAAAACGGAGAATCGATAACAAAAATCGTATTTTCCATTTCATTACATAAACATGACATCGAGCTTTGTTGTTGCAGACGTCCACAATTAACATGCTCGTGTTTCATAACGATATCTCTCATGCGCGCTCGTGAAAGTGTTTCCATGCTTTTGACCGATTCCTCCAATCTTTTTTGATAGCGCGAAATACGCGTTTTTTCATAATTATAAATACATTAGAATCGCGTTATTTTTATCTACGTGGAATATTTGCTGTTTGTTGATGTTGCTTTCTACTGTGAAAATATAAGTTGATTAACGTTTTGATTATGCAAAATTTTGACCAGACATGAACTGTATCTGATTCGCATAACATAGCTCGACTATCGAGAAATTATTACTATATTTTTCAGTGTACAATATACGCAAAATAAATAAGCCTACTTGCAGCATAAATAGTCTTAATCCGCTTATTGATAAACAAACTATGTAATGTTTATATCGCTGTTAGATAGATGTTTCTCACGCGTGTCAAATGATTCTGCGCTATTTTGTTTCTAGGTCACGATTGCGCTTGGCTGACATAATAATTACATCCCGAGAACATATTTTCGCTCCACGCAACTTTTATATTATTTTTCTTTTCTACTATTGTGCAGCACGTACGACTCATAATATGATACGGAAATTCGTATTTCTCTATAACATAAGCAAAATAAAATTTTAACTGACTCGTAATAATGTCTTAAAAAATCGATCGGTTTCTCAGTAGTTAAAAATAAAACCAATAAAATCGCAATAAAAATAGTTAAATTGCTGAACTAATATTACCTCGAATTTCCAAACGTCAACATTCGACAGGAGATCCCAGCGAGCTGAACCATTTTCATCGAAGCCGTTGAAGCCCAGACCAGAATTATTACAAATGGCATCGGCAAAAAGCCATGCGTGGTAATACTTAAAACGAACTAACATTGTAGATATAATCAGGTACCAATATTTTTGTAAGAAGTTAGTGCTCTGAAGAAACTCCTCCTCTGAAATGATTTATCATTGAAATTGACCCAGATCGAATGCAAACAAATCAATATTACAAACTAACCTTTCAATCTGCGTATTGGGTAGTAAGGTATAAAAGTGACAAAAATAAAGGCACACGCTAAACTTGCAGCAACTTTTTTGACAACAGCTTGAGTTGGCGATGGATCTCTAACTATTTTATATCCATTTCCCTTTGATTCTTCGTTCTGTGGAAGGAATTTTATTATTATCAAATCGTTCTGAAAAACAACATCTAATCTCAATTAATGATTCAAAAAATTTGCTCACCCCTGTCAAAGTGTGACCGTACCCGTTTACATAGTTAATGTAATCGCGGTAAAATATGATGGGACCCGCCATGAGAGCTTGAAAATGCAAAACATAGCTGAAGTACTCAATAAAGGTTGGCATTTTCCTGTGAAATAATTAATAATTATTATAAAAATAATACTTTAAAAAATAGACGAAATACGTAAAAATTATCCTTCATTCAAAAAACGCGTCCAATTTAAAAGTGCTCCTGTATGCAATTTACAAAGTGAAACTTACTGCATGGCGTGATAACGTTGCGCAGGCGTCAATTCGTCCTCTTTGCGCGCCAATCCGTCGTGCAAGCTGTACGCCAAACTCGTAACTTTTTGCGTAATGACCATGAGTGGACCTGATGATTAGTAAACGTTGATGAGTTATAATAGTTTTTTGATTTGATTTTTAATCAAGCGAGGCAAAAAATCTCACCGGTAATATCCAGCGCAGAAGAGCCATAGTCGTATGCCTGTCTATGAAAATGAATGGCCGACAGGTATAACATGGCAACAGCTAGAACCACTCTGTGAAAAAAAAAGAAGAAAAAAGTATTTTTAACAATTTTCATGCAAATTCATGAGAAAGTTATTTTTACAAAATTTAAGTTTCGGACTTTGCAATGATCTACGCGAAAGAGTAAACTATCTGCATTATTCAAATGTTCCGTTATTTTCTCTTCGGAAAATTAATGCCGGCTCGAAGTCCGTGACTTCATATAGGCACGCTTCGTTCTCAATCCAGCTCGCAATAATCCAAGGTAGTCGGAATAAAGAATATAGCTCATGTGTACACTTGGCTATGCCACGCGCGCCTCTTACCACTGATCCATTTAGTTATTTATTTCAACAAATAGGTTTGCTAATCGCTACTACATAGGCACACGATTCGTGTCCATTTTCTTAATGCAGGTGTAGAAAAAAAATCAACCTTTTTTCAAATGTTAACCGCATATTATATAATAATTACCTTTGCATCGATTGAGGATCCCATGAGCGTATTACCACATAGGTAACCGCAGGAAGCCCCGCCAGATGGATTGCGTGTCTGTACATAAAATACAGCATGGATTATTCATCTGTATGGGCATAAATATATGATGATGTGAGTTGTGTGATCTTACCGGCCAAAGCAAAAGTAACCGAGAGTGAGACCGATGACCAGTCCGAAGATATGTCGAACGGCTGGCGTCACAACGGTAGGGCTTAACTTTGACCTCAGTAATCCAGCCAATCCCAATGCCGTGAACTGGGTTATTAGAAAATTTAGCTGCAAGAAGCCAAGTCGTTTTTATTCAACGTAATGTGTATGTACACGCTAATTAAATTATATATTTTAATGGATTTTTTAATTCAATGCTGTTTTTAATACTACTCTTATTAATCTAATTTTCGTAATGCTTATTCAAAGTTAACTCGACATAATCTTCCGTGAAGCTGAATATACATTTATATAATAGATTTACTCTTGGGCTGACATTTACAAAATTATAAAATTTTTCTGTACCTGACACACGTTAATATAGATTTATCATTCAGCTAAACTTTTATAGTGTTATTTGTACAGTTCAAGGAGCAGTGAATGAAAAAAGGTAGCAATTCACTCGATAGATATGAAAAAGTGTTTTTCAATTCATATTTCAAAAGAAAGAGTTTTTTTATATTTTTCATCTCTAGTATTTTGTTCTGTACAATATCTCCCATAAAAGTATTCACGTGGTAGGCTCGAAGCCATAGAGACAAAGTCAGGACAAAAGACGGTATATAGGAGCTGCGGCTTTACTAGAACAGGAGCTTGCAGAGAGGGAGAGAGAGCTTTTGAATGGAAGAGAGGAAAATGGGAGCACGCACATGTTACGATCGATCGGCTCTCGCTGCGATACGTTCACAGGCTTCGTCATTGTTGGCTGCTTTTGATAGCGTATACGCGGTGGTGGCGGCTACACGACATGCAGACGAATCGTCTCGCACCTATAGATATATATTTTACTTTTCCAACGTGCTCGATCTTCTGTTCGCGAAGTCTTGTTGCGTTGCATATCTTATACACGAGTTAGAAATTCGTCTGCTGCTTGTAACCCAAGCGAGGAAACTTCGTAGTCAATATTTTCGTATGAATGGAAACCCGCACATGACGAGGCAGATTTTCACAACAACTCAACTGATTTTCCTTTACTACAATCGCGCGAGTACATTAGAAAAATTATTTTTCTGTAAATAAATTCATGCAGAGGTGTAATTAAAAATAGAAAAGTAAAAATTCTTTAGAGGACATTATTACTTTTACGATGTTAACCCGTTCGGTAATTAACCAAAATAATTTTATTATTAGCAACCAAGCTTTGAGCAACGAAATGAAAAAATACCAGATTTGTTAAATCCCTTCTTTTATCTTAATAATCTAATGCGTTTCACTTTTCATGATTACATTATCAAAAAAATGTCGTTGTTGTGGTTTGTTAAATAACAAGAGTTGCGACGTTAAATAATAGATTTAAACCAAAATCGTGCCCTCTGATCAATTTAAAAGATTATTTCCATAATAAGAATGACGAATGAGTACCACGAAAGCTTATACGAAATTCAAAATTAAGCATTAAGTTTTTTTTGTATGCAGATCGCAAACGCTGCAAACAATGAGTAATCGTATCGCTAAATTTTCCAGCTTCTATTTTAAGTCGCGTATTAAAAAGTAATATTAAAATTTAAATAGACGCCTCACATCTCTATTCATTATCACGCGCTGGTACTTTTTCGATAAATCTGCCTAGACAGTTTTCGTATGAAAAATTTTCATTTCACTTCATGCGCCGTACGTCAGCAAGTTTTAATACATAAGAAAGCAGTCGAGATTTGTGCTGGCATCAAAATCAAATAGATGGCGATGATGCGTGATGCGGACGAAGCCGCGCGCGCGTTAAGTGCCATATCCGGAGCGGTGTATGCACGCAGCTTGTATACAGATTAAAAAGCTCGCTGGTATAATAAACGTACGCACTTACACTTACGGATGAACGTATACGTGCATGCACGCACACATTGATGCGGGTAATCGTCAGCTTGCGAGTGGGTGTCGTTGCTTCGTCGCGTAATTCGTATATACTTACGCGTTGTATATGCTGATATTTACCGATGTATATCGTCATCGATGTATTAGAAAGATATATACCCGCTTAACTTATCTTTGTTCGCAAACTTTCTTAGAGCAAAACAAGCTGCCAATATAATCGTTTCGTCATCTCGAAATAAAAATTGTATCTATATTTCCGATCACCTGATAACGCGTTCACGGTATTAACTTCGATTAAAGTATGTATAATAAAGACGCGGAGTGTCATCGGTGTCACGCGACGATTTTTGCAATGCATATCGTACGATAACGGCGCGTGCAACAATCAAAGGAAAACGTTCGTTGTTGGAGTAAATAAACGAAGTAAACATTAAAATCCACAACATTTAAATAAATTTATCTTTACAGTTAGTATGAAAAACGTTTCGTTAAAGTTCGCTCCATCTTGAAAACTATATTAACCGAATAAAGTGTAAAATTAATTTCTACATTGGATACGTCGAGTATCGATACTCGATCTGCAGTTACATTGAATACGATCATATCTATGCCATATCGCGAGCGCACCGATGAATATTCCGGCTCGTTGATCGTGCCACACGCGGTGTCACCTCGTCTTGTGTGACTTTTATGTACACTACGTCCCGCACAAGCTGAGACTCACAACGTCGAGACAAAAAATAACGTTGTTTCTGTAAAAAATGTAAGCTGCAGGAATTTCCATGCTAATTCACGCGAGAGTCGTGTGTGTGTCGCGTTCGCGCGCAGCTCGTAATATGTCTAGAGTATAATACTGTACAATATATACATTGCGGCGGATAGTGCATGTCATTGTCTCGGAAGCGGATTATGTCAAGCTTTATTTTTAAAAAAAAATATTGCACACCGAGAACGAGACGCGCTCGTAAAACTCTCGGTATATAAGGCGTGCTCGAGAGAGAGAGAGAGAGAGAGAATGGGCTAAAAATGCTTCGTCGTTCGCCTATTATATATCCAGCTCGAGCTCGTTCGTCCGAGGAAAATAATATTAGATCGTTGGCAATATTACGCGATGCAGCTCCAACCAAGTGAGCACACACATAGTCGTCGAATCGAGAGCAGCTTATATCAAATGATGTAGCGTGAAAAATATATGAAATATAAAGTGTAAATGGAATTATTAATCCACCGCACGGTTGGGATTGGCTCGCACGAGTCGCACATAATTCGAAAATATTCTAATTGCATAATACGCTCGACACAGAATGCGGCGGTGAATCTCTCCTCGCTGCTGTTACATTATGAAAAAGCGGGCGTGTGTGCATAAGAGTTGGATAAGACGATACAGCCGAGTGAAAACGTCATGCGCATTGCGACTGCCAGCCTGACTGTGGGCAAAGTGCAGCAGGTGTAGGCTAGCTTGTGCAGGCAGCGAAGCAGCTACTGCAGCTCGTGGTCGTCGTCGCGAACCGGCTCGAGGCGATCAACAAGTGTGCCGTCTCGACGATGGCCAAGCAGTGTCGCGAAAATCAAATAGCGTTTTGAAAGTACAAGGAAAAAATGAAAGAAATTTCATTATCATGAAGTGGAAAAATGGACGGAATAAATGACCTACGATACTATACGGGGGTGTAGTCTTTCCCTTATTATACAGATGTGGTACACGAATCGACTCTCTCAGGCCGGTCGGCTGACTTTTTTTCCTCTCGCTTGCTCTATATATACATAATAATATACGTGACACGGGGGCGAAAAATTGTGTGTGTGTGCGTCGGATCCGATCGATACTCTCCTCTGTCTCTCTGGCTGTAGCGAGAAGGGCGTGGATATTATGAAGAGCTGCGTCGCGGAGCACAAGGATGAATTATCAATCGCGCGGCGCACGTGCATATCGACTCTATGATGATGTTATAGGTACAGGTATACGTAAACAAGCTCGAACGACTCGAAGCTCGCGTTGGAGCACGCCTAGCATTATATATGGATATTTTATTGGCTCATCGTTTATTTATATACAAAGGCGTACGACGACGCTGCACACGAGAGATGCATACGAGCAAGGCGATGCAGCGCACAAGAATCGAATACGTTATGAGCTCATGCAGCCGATTCATATAAATAAGATTGCTTACGGAATGCCAATAAAATTAATCTAATTTCGGCGAATAGTCGTGGCGCACCGCAGAACGCGAAAAAAAATAACGATGATGCACATTGCACATTTGGGAACTGCGTTTGTGGTCAATTCTGTACGGTTCACGCTACACGACTATAATCGCATATCTACGCCTATTCCGTACGAGGAAAATGTTTTTCCGCGTAGTTTTATAAATATAGCCAAGAGCGGAGCGGAAGGCGTGCGAACGCAAAATAAACACGCTCGCGAGAGCCAAATTTTCGCGGAGTTTACATATTATACTCAGTTGATCGTAGTCCTTATCATACTGATTACAAACGCATAATCTTGGATCATTTACGACGTTTCGTTAAAAGGGATTATCAATTGTCATGGGAATTAAGCGGTATCGGGTAGCAATGAACTCGCTCGACCGAAGACGACGACGACTATGGAGTAAACGAAGAGTTCAACGCACACGCAAAAGGAAAAAAAAATAATATAAGAAAGAAGTCACGAGGACTGGTCGCACTATATAGCGTGGTTTTATATACACAGCGATGATCTAACTGTAAATCCAGTGTACACGCTTGAAAATCGCCTTTCTATGTATGTGTGCCGAGTGCATAGCCTGCAATCAAACTCAGACGCGAAAAAAACGTGAGAGAGAGAGAGCGAGAAGAAGAAGCGCATCTTGCATATACACGCAACAGATATCTCTTGATCCTTGATCCTTTTAGCTTGCCCGTGAATGTATACCGGAATCGTATACGTACGCTCTCTTTCGCTCTCTCTCTCTTTCTCTCTGTCTCCCTCACGCGCGTGCGCCTGCCTCCGAAAACTAATAAACACGAGGACCGAGAATTTCGGAGTCGGGACGATATCTCTCGAAAATCAGAAATTTTTTTCCCCATACCTGGTCGATGGGTAAGCCAACGAGCTTGGCCAACCAGTCGAAGGTCCTGAGGCCGTCGTAATTCGGATCGTCGAGCTCTGCCATTCTGCTGCTGCTGCTGCTGTTGTGTCCAGGACGATGCTCTCTCTCTTATTCACGCAGCAGCTTCTATATATATTGCACTCGGAGCGTGTACTACGTACTACGAGTCGCGCGACGCGATTATCGACTTGTTGCTGTTGCTATAGTAGTACACGAAGACACGTCTCGTCGGCTGCAGCAGCGCACGGATGTTTTGTAATTGATCCTTCGCGGCTGGCCTCCGCGGCTCGACTCGTCGGAGTAGTTGTTGTCGCGCGACGATCCCGGCTCCGCCACACGTGCTGCTGCTGCTGCTGCAAATATATGTATAGCGCGGCGCACTGCACTGACACACACTGCATAAGTGTATAGGTGTATATAGGTAGGTCGTCGTCGTCACATGTATATAGGTGTATATCCGCCGATTTGCGCGCGGCTATATATGTATAATGAGCCGCCGCCGCCGCCGTCTCTCTAATAACTGCCGCAGCCACCGCCAAGCGAGTAGTAGTAAATACGGAGCTCGTGCACCTTTAAGAGACGACGACTCTCGCTACTGACTGCGTGAGAGAGAGAAAGAGAGACAGAGAGCCGCTACGATGACGCACCCGCGCCCGGCTTGCCTCTAATACTCCACGACTCTCCTCCACGCTCTTCCCTGTTTATATACATGTGTGCGCGTACGCGTGTGTATATATATCTGTTGCGTCGACTCTCTCTCTCTCTCTCTCGCTTTCTATCGTTCCGGAGCCGCCACCGCCTCCTGCTTATAACTCTCGTGTGTAGAGGTATATTACCGAGCCGTGCGCGGGAGTATATATCGGCTGTATGTAGACGCGGCGCGCGGACTGAAACACGATCTCGCCGCCTATTGCCTCAGCCTGACCTGCCTTCCAAACAGCCGCCAGCGACCGAACGTTTGCGCGGAAGATCGCGGCTCGCGGCGCACGCGCTGCATCTTCACTCCAGTCTCCGGCTCCGGAGCAACTCGAGTGGCTCGACGACTCGCCCTGTAGACTCATCTCCGCGGCAACCTGAGTAAATAATAAGTAGGCTCGCGGGACCGACTCGCACCATTCATGCGTATCGAATTACCCTGTATACATCCAAGTCGTAAAGAAAAAAAAGAAATTCCTCGGCCAATTCATTGGCAGTAAGTTAACTTCCTTACAAAAAAATTAATTATTCACTTTTTGTGTAAATACTGCAAAGCAATAAAACATTATGCGCTTTTAGATGAAAGATCCGAAACGCAGCTCATCAACAATTTTTTTTTTTTCAATTATCACATATATAAAAATCTAAGACAACGGTCCCACTTTAATAATGTAAACGAAAAAAACTATTTCAATTAGTTTTTCTTAGGAGATACCGGAGCCAGACTCAAAATAATCATTTTTCGAATATTGTTTTTTGAGATTTATACTGAATATTTTCTCAAGTAGCTACAGAAATGTCTAAAAAAAATAAAGTGAAGACCCTTGCGGAGTTTTTTAGAAAAATATGCGGTGAAAATACCAAGAATTTAACGCAAACATCGAATGCGCAAGCAGGAAATAAACACGAAGGCTCGTTGCCTATGTATATTATTATCATACAGACTGATTCTGTGTACAAAATATAGTGGTTGCGATATTTGTTGAATTATTATTTCGTTGAGCCTCCAAGAGCCTCTGCCACGCCTGAAATTGACGCTGACCCGAAGATCGAAGATTGCGAATACCAATTTGAAGGAATGTTCTTACTTCATTAGACGGCTTATTATTTCAGTATTACAACCACATTTTCTTTCGTTTACGTTGATTTTTAGAATTTTCAAATCATGATCTGTAAGTATAATCTACTTAAGTTCAATTCAATTTGACACGTAATGTTGGTTTAAATTGATCAATTTTACGGAGACCTGTGAGTTCCGTGCTTAATGAGGTCCTTTTTGAAATATTTTGACTTAACTTTACCCATCTAAAAAAGTCAATAAACTTCTGAAGAAATTTTACATTTGCGAAGGTATTTTTTTAATTTATATGAAGTTTAAGTTAGTTTTATTCTGTATTTTATTTTGGAATAACATTCGTCGACCGATTTCATATTATTATACAATTTCAAAGAGATGCCGATTAAAATAAAGTCGCATGCTATCAGGTATTTTAATAATAACAACATTTTTATTCAAATTTTCTTCTTATTAGCATTATCTTTAATGAATTATTATTAGAATTGGTGTAAGAGTTACATTCTCCAAAAATCGAGCAACTTTCGGACTAACGATGCAGCATTCGAAGTTAAACTTGCAGGCCGATTTCACATAGAATTTTTGAAGCCCGAGAAACGGAGATAGAATCGAGCGATAGACGGTACACTTGATTATTCCCAATTTTATTGAAATTATTTCAGAGTGAAAGAAGAGCTCCATTAAGTTAACAATTCCAACCGATTTTCCTTATCATTACAGACCCATTTGCTTCAAGAAAGATACGTTCGAATTTCTCATGATATACTTATAAATTAATGACGAAATTCAAATTGAGTCCGAGGGTCAAGACGTGAAGCTAACTTCGAATCGAATATAAACCAAAGATACAGTCTAACGATTTTTCTTAATGTAGAAAATTGAAGAAAAATCTTTGAGCTGTCCTTACTGCTACAATCTCTCAAATTTCTCTTGCGGGAATAGCCGAACTAGTAGCGACGCGTGTGATGAATCGCCAAAATATCATCCATTACACAAATTAAAAGAGAATTACAGCTAAATAGCAATATCCATAGACATTGCCAATCAGGGCATAATAGTGTTTAGTTCTCGCTCAAAAAATTTATTATCTCAACAAAACGTGATCACATATATTTGTGATTTTATTTTATGATAATTTTTAGAACTTTAGTCATTTGTTTTGCAGAATATCCCAATAAATTTTTTGGTATGAAACAAATTTTTGATTATTCTTTTTTACTTTAGTATATATATTATAAAAAAAAATAAAAGAAAATATTCAAGTTTTTATTAAAATATTAAAAAAATAATAATGTACAATAATGGGACATACAAAATGGGATTTTGATAAAAAATATACAAAACTTTTTCAAATATATTAATTTATTAATTTATTTATTCATAATATATAATCTCGAATTTGAAGTTATAGTGTACATATTAAACATAAGAAACAATTTATTTTATATTAACATCACAAGTATTAAAAATCCAAAACTAGGTATGCATTAGTAATAAACAAAATTGAAATAAAAAACCTTACTTTTTTATGTTCTGCAAGCTCCTATTTGGTATCTCTCTATATTATAAGATAATATCGCCGCCATTCGGTAGAATGGTCCTATGACGTCATTATCGCCGCCATTCGGTAGAATGGTCCTATGACGTCATTATCGCCGCCATTCGGTAGAAATTTGTAATTAGTTGTAAACAAATAATAAATAGAATAATAAATAGAACATTTTTATCTCCTTTTTGAAATTTTGTTTTTTAAAAGACCCCGAAATGTTACTTATTTTGAAGAACATATTGCACCAAATTTATAATATTCAAAATCGCATCGTTTGGCGTAATAAAATATTTTTTTCTTAAAAATTTAATGTAACCCAAAGTTGTCAAATGTAAATAATTAGGAACGTTGTATATATCGTTATAATAATTTGGTATATTATCGGTTTTTTCCGTGTAAATATCAATAATTTTTAGGTGTAAAGCCTGATAAAAATGTTCCATCCCGTTAGGCTTAAGAAGATTTTCTAAATAACTATTATACCCGGCCTCGAATATTTCGTAGTCCTCGATTAATTCATTAATTTCTTCTATTGAATAATCTTCGTTATTATCCATTATCCATTCCATTTTTATAATAAAAATATCGTCAACTACTGAATTATCTAAAAAATTGTAACAAAATTTTTTTTTTTTTTTAATTATAAAATATAATGTATTAAATATAAAATATATAATAAAATGATTAATAAAAAAATCAAGAAAATATTTCTTTCCAAACAATATTTTGGATTTCATTATTTTCTGATTCTGTTTCGACGAAAATTTTTTGTTTATTTTTTGCGCGAGATAAAGCAACATATAATTGTCCATGAGAAAATAATGCTTTATTAAAATATATTCCTACTTCATCAAAACTTTGACCTTGTGATTTATTAATAGTTATTGCAAAAGCTAAAACAATTGGGAATTGTCTTCTATACAAAACAAATGGTAATGTAGTATGTTCTCCCGTATCTAAAATGATTCGAGGTATAAAGACTATTGTATTAATTTTGTTTCCCGTAATAATTTCAGCTTCGATATTATGATTATATAAATTTAAAATTTTCAACCGAGTTCCGTTACATAATCCATCATTGATACTTAAATTACGTATCAACATAACAATAGATCCAATTTTTAAACGTAATTTATGTACTGGAAAGCCCGGAAAACGCAAAGATTGTAAATAATCAGTTGGATATTCCAGTTCGATGTCCGAATTTGTTTGGTCAATACCTTTGTATTTTCCGTAATCTATGCTAATATAAATTTTTTCTTGGGTTTGTAACTTACATAAAATTTTTTCATTCAAGTGATATACATCCTTATTGTGACATGTTAAAATTACTTTATTAGTCAAATCATCGTTCTCATTTATACTTTCTCCATAAATTTTGTTACACACATCATTTACAATCCATTGTTCAGGAATTTTAAAAGACAGTATATCCCCATTTCCAATTTGTAATAAAAATTTTGAAAAAGAAAAATCGATATTTCTCAAATTAATTTTTAATTTGAAACTTTTAAAATATTTCCATAAAAATGAATGTTTAATAGTATTTTCGATTATTGTCATTCTGCATCCATACTTTATGACAGGTAAAGTTTGTCTGAAATCTCCGCCTAAAATAACTGTTTTATTACCAAATGGAATTTTGTCTTCAGAACAAAGATCACGTAATGTTTTATCTATAATTTCTAAAGCTTTCTTTGGGATCATTGAAGCTTCATCCCAAATGATAATATCTGCATCTCGAATTTTGTTTCTGTGTATTTCTGTTTTTAAAAATGCATTTTCTATATTGCTCAAATCTAACGGTAAATTGAAAGTTTTATGACTCGTCATTCCAAATGGTAATAAAATACTTGCTATACCCGTCCACGCCATCGATAAAACATTTTTCGATTCACTTAAAAAATAATAAATTAAAGTAATATACAAAAAGGTTTTTCCAGTACCTCCAGGCCCATCAATAAAAATAAGTTTTTGTGTATCCAAATGTGTTATTACGTAATCGAAAATTAATTTTTGATCTAAATTCATTTTTTTGTATCTAAGAAGATATTCATTTCTATAAAATTCCAGTTGACTATTTAAATCTTCTTCATCAACAACAGTTTTTGAAAAATCCAAATTCGGTGCTGGTAAACCGACATCAATACAGCTTAAATTTTCAAATTCTAAAATATCATTTATTTCTTTCAAAGCTCTGTTTTCGTGATTATCTTTAAAACCTTCCAAAAAATATTTTTTATAAGTTTGCCAAACGTCTCGAATCATTGGTATATTGTTAATAATTATAAACCAAGCGAAAAATTTTCTAAGTTGTTTCGGCATCATTATTAAACAAGCTTCGTCAAATATTTTTTTTATTTCTAGATCGCTATCTACTAATCCCATTGCAATCGCCGTTTCTCT